CATGCAGAGCGTATAGATATTGTTCTCCTTGCAGAGCTCTTGAAACTCAAGAGAGTGGTGGCTCTCATGGCTGTCAAGGACGAGCAGGCGACGCGCACCAACAACGCGAGTCTTTGTGTGAGCGTTGAAGTGCTTCAGCCACTCTACTCCTAGCTTGTTGTTTGTCCAGCCATTGTCGCTAACTGCGATTACCCAGTCGCGTGGGATCTCTGCTTCCTCGTACCAGGCAGATAGATGATACTGGCCAGCGAAGATGAGGAACAGCAGGACTGACCAGCCAGCAGCGTTGATTGCAGCAATCGCCGTCACCCACTCGCGATTACCTGGCTGAATAGCCTTAGGCCTGCCTCTTCTTTCTGACCCTGTTACAACAAGTTAAGTTGTAATTTTGCCTATTATAAAGCTAGCCTTGTTAAAGTTGTACACGTTATTATCGCAGATGCTGTACTTGGCCTTTGTCTCCTCTACAAGCTTAAACTAGCTCCTGATTAGAGCTGGATCCTTGCATAGAGCTCTCTGCCTATCGTATGCTCGATTGAAACGCGTCCTAAGACTGTCTGTACGCTTGACAAAGTTGCTTGGCCAGTCTCTGCCTACAGGAGAGCTACCACGCGCTAAGAGTAGCTTATTAGCCATATCACGTACAGCTGCGTACGTAGGCGAAAACCCACGTGTATCTAGATCCAGTATATGCTTTACTATTACCTCCTCCTCTTGCTTGGTAAGCTTCTTTGAGTTGGGCTGGCAATTGCGTCTAGCAGGTTTGCCAGCGTGTTAGCGGTGGAGGGTAGCGCAAGAGACTTTAAACATTACTACAGCGCGCCTTTCAGTCTAAATTTAATTTGCATTAAGAGCTAAGATTGTAAGGTGTATATCAGTCTCACAAGAAGCGTGTTGGGCTATGTTTGGTGGAGCCATAGTTGATTTATAGTTGTAGGGTATAGAAATTTGGTGGGGTGGCTCACTCGCTTCGATGGCTCACTCGCTTAGTATTTACGTTAAGCCCTGAAGGGACAATCTGGTCCGAATTTTGAGTAAGAACTCACGATGCCCCTCTGGTTACGAGTGTACAGCTACATCTGCGAGAGCCAGTAGGAACGCACTTCGTCCACATGCTGGTCTTTAACCAGCTCTTCCTCTAAAACATGATCCTTGAAATCCTGCACAACGTATTGTGTCGTCAGGAATCGAGCCACTTCTGGCGATGATCGATCAGTTAGCTTGCAGTACGTGTTAGAAGGATCCAGTTCCATGTCGTCGCAGATTATAGCAGCTGGTCCCTCTCCATTTGTACCAGAACATGTCTGCTATCATATGCATCAAAGGGTAGCCGACAGGAAGGAAGGCCGTCATCAAAGTCGTGTTCGAATCGATCACTAGCAGGCCCTTTGGATCGAATAAAAGAGGAGACTTTTTGTATAATTCCCCAAGTATCATTAGGTCTTTCTCAGTGTAGCAGGGGTCTTGGAGAATGACCTGAACGGGTTCCCGGTGGACGCTCTCCAGCTGATCTGCGATAGTGAAAGTAGTCATATGTTGCAGTGAAGACTGATACCACGCTTTATCTTGGTTAAGGGTGCCCAAGCCAATACATACAATCTTGTTGATTGACAGATGTTTTGCGGCGAGGTCAGAAATCGTTTGGAAAAACCTGCTGCGGGAATTGCTTTCCTTCCAAAGATTTTAGTTGAAGCGAGATGGTACAACAGGAGAAAAAAACAAATAGTCCCATGGGAGAAATTTCACACAGTGTTTCGGCTCAGACCAAGGCTTGAGTACCATTTTCACCATCCAGGGCTCTCTTGAGCGCAAGTCCTGAGAATATTGACCATCCGGACCGTGCAGTCTTGGCCAATGAGAAGGAACCTCGCAAAAACAAAGTTACAGACGGTTGAAAGGATGTGTTTAGGCTTGTAAGTACAGATCGGGGGTCGCCAGTCCAATCAAACAGCTATAGTATACTGCGATTTACCCAAATATTCGAGGGAACCATGGTCCGCTTCACCCTTAATTCGGACTGCGCACCAGAAAACAACAATGCTCGCGCAACTGCCCCACTGTAGAGTCAATGGCTACATGAGTCCCTCCGGCGTGATGCCGACGATAAGGTGTCAACAAGTCGGTCGTGATGTTGCGGCCCAAGACGCGCGATTCAGAAAAGCCAGAATCCTTGCATTTATTGCATTTCGCTCTGAATTATGACACTGCCATAAAACCAGTGTGCATTAGGCCTTTTGGGACTGTAAGCGCAGGCTTGGACCGTGGTCTACGAGCCTGCGGTTCAAGAAGCTGAGGTCGTGATGTCAAGCCCAAGCCAGGGTGATGGCGTGCGAGAGCCTGCACGCGGGCGGTCCCGCTGTCACTTATTAAGCACCATAACGAAGCTAAGACTGGTAAATCCATGTCGATGCCATGTCGTTGGAAGGCGTAGAGTCTGTGGCTGCAACGGCGGTGCAAGAGCGTGCTGCGATTGGAAAGCGCGTCTACGGAGTTAAAGCCGTCGGCTTCTTAGTCAGCAGCGGGTCAACGGCTTCTTCTCCGCGCGGCTAACGTACATCATGAACAGCATTTACATGTCCATGGTGTTCAAGAGGAAGCCGTACCTGCGCATTGCGCTGCCAACCCAAATGCGAGACTTGCTCTTCTTTTGTCATGATCGGTAGCGAACAGGGAATAGCGCTATGCCACCCATGCAAGAAGAGATTGCCGACCCACTGTGTCTTTTCACCCCGCCTCGCATTCGCTTTATAACAAACACACCATCGAGTGGCTGCATCGAGGGTGATCCAGTCAGATCGCGGGAGCGCGACCTCGAACGGCATCTCACGGGTCAGAGAAACGTCAATGCCACGCCTAGGGCACAAGAAGAGTCGGTTAGGTTGCCGGCAGTGCAAGGCACGCCACGTGAAGGTGCGTTTTGGAGGATTTACGTCTCGTGGCTAAATGCCTATTCGTTCAGTGATCACTCAAGACACATACTGATGGGTTGCTAGTGTGACGAACTGAAGCCGTGTACAAATTGTGCAAGACACGGTGTACAATGTAGTCTTATCACAGATCGACCGCCTTCCGCATCATCCGCTGGAACAGGTAGTGGTAGTGGCGCCTCGCAACGTGAGCGCGATAATAAATCATTGAATGAGCGCCCCAGAACTGTGAGTTTCGGAGACCGTAATGTGCAACATTCAGCTGAAACGCCCGTAGGGTTCGTCGACGTGGTCACCCCCTCTGCTCATCGACTCTGTCCTGAAGCATTTAGCTGTATCACCTGGAGATGGCGCTTCAGAAGGGAGCTCTCCGAGTTCCCAATCAGACCAGTTCCCATTCCTGAGGCCGTTCACCCACAAGCCCGCAACGAATCAGTCAGATCCCTGGGTTCGGGATATTGAATTGATGTTCGTATATATCGACCGCCATGTAGACCGCAATACTGAATCGAAACAGGCATCATTGGACCATCGAGGCTTATGATGAGCTATCGCAGCGTGATGACATGCGTTTCACTTGGAGGGTCGAGGCACCAAAAGTAGCTGTGACCCACACGTTCCTGATGCACGAAATATTGGCATTTGCTGCATTCCACAAAGCATCACAGCTTCCTGATAAGCGCCAGGAGTACTATACCTTGGGGATTCATCACCAACACCTTGCTATCAAGGGGTTGCGACCAAAACTCCAGGACATCGTGCCAGACGAGGCGCCAGCTATTCTTGCCACTTCGACACTGCTCACTCTAGGTGTCTTTGCTTCAACAGGATTCGAGGCCAGTTGTTTGGAGCAACCTTCACAATCGTCCGCCATCGATGGCATCTTGAACATTTTTTCGCTCATGCAAGGCATGGGTAACGTACTGGCACTGGCTCACACGCATGTGTTTGAGTCTTTTCTTGCACCGATGTTCCGCGATCCCCTCGAAGCGACTCCTTCGCAGCCGTTACTGCAGGAGCTTATACATCATTTGCCTAGCGTGATCTCGTTCATCGAGACAAAGCAGGACCTGCCAGACGAGGAACGCACTGGCTTTTTAGGTGTCATTGATCACTTCGAGCCTGTGCTGAGGCTTGCGAGCCCTGCGCGGGTGGATAATCGGGAGCTCCGATTCCTCTTCTTCTGGCCATTGCATCTCAATGGCAGATTCCTTGACAGTATTCGACAAAGGCATTCGGGTGCGCTTGTCATATTGATGTACTATGCGACCATGCTGTTTGCTGCGGAGCCTCGTTATTGGTTCATGAAGGGTTGGGGCCATTCTGTAATGAAGGCTTGTTATGAAGAGGTCGACAAAAGCTGGCTACCTGCCCTACAATGGCCCTTGTTATTCTTGGAGACAGGTCCCACTTACGACCTATTCACAAACATCAGTCGACTTCATGGTGGTAAAGGGGCTCCGGGGGGTCCACTGGTCCTGCCGTTTGTGCAACAGCAACCACACACGGTTCCTTTCCGACAGTACGCGGAGCCTCCTTTGCGATCACCCCAGCACAAAGTAGTGTCGACTCTGGACCGCAGCGGCCCATGCCCACACCTTACCGGAACAATGCCTCCTTCATATGCGCCTCAGATGACCAGTGCATCAAGCCCGCCTCCAGTCGCTGATGCAGTGCGAACCCAGAATCAATGTATCGATCAGACCGATCACATCTCCAGCAATTCCACTGATCCAAGGCGTGAACGAGGGCAAGACCCCAATCGGGAGTTGCGTAAACGAGAAGGCACATGATACGACTGCTGCAGTGATTGCCTTACAGACAATGTCGGTCGCCAGCCCTGCATCCTGAGGAGATGGGACGTTGGCAGCGTCGATCTGCCGAGATTGGGCAAGAAGACAAATCCTTTGGAGAACACAACGTATTTTGTATTTGCCGACTTTCTCTGCAACACAATGGCCTGGGCAGTTGGGTGCGACAATCACGTGACTCTCTCGAGTCGCTGCTGGCTAGAGCAATCCTCCAATAGCATCAACAGATGACACAATCGCAGTCATCACGTCCATCTCAATTCTCTACATATTGGTTTCACGATCAGGAGAGCACGGCAATAGACACGGCAGAGAGTACTCACCAGCTATACCGCACTTTATCCGAGCCATGCTATGTGCTTACACTACTTGCAAGGATTCTTGTCAGCGGCACTCAGCCTTTTTGCTGACCTGACGTACAGCCTACGAGGCCGCTACATCAGTATTGATTGCGAAACTTTTGATGACGTCGCCTTGCGCCTCTCATGCAACCTCATGCGGGACATATCTGCGTGTGCTGCTTTCACCGCAGTCTAGACTTACTGAGCACACAATCGAGGCGAACAACAAACGCATACGTTTTTGTGCGTTGACTTCACGATTGATTGCGCATATACTGCAACCTACCAAATAGGAGTGGCCAGTTGGCATGCTTGGTGGATTCGACCCGCAACAGGGCATGCGTGAGCACAGCCAAAACACTGGCGGACCACCTATCCTAAATAACAGAGCCCCAGTTCCTTTGGAGACCTTAAAATAAGAAAACTAGCCTTGTGCCCGCCAGCTTTGCGTCGTGTTTGCTATTGGTAGGTGGTAGGCTCTTATGACGCGAAGAAAGCTGGATATAACAAAACATCCATTGTAGTTCCCAGAGGCACCATCAGCTCGTACAAATCATTGCTGAAGACCTCACACTCTTACGACTCTGAAACTTGTATCTAGTCTTTGCCATTACACAAGAGGTAGGGCGCAGTGTTATAGCGAGACATCGGGTGGTGGGGACACCGAACGTTGCTTAAGGAGAACCTGGATAATTGCGCGAGGCATTCTGCATCAATCTACAGGCTGAGTCAACTTAACGCAGTCCCACAAGGTTGCAGAATCTTACGCAGGCATAAAACTCTGATGCGTCAAGTCGCCCGTTCTAGACCTGCTAGATGATGCTCTGCACCTTTGTTTCTTTCGCCCCTAAGCATCGCAAAGAAGCAGACGCATTTCGCCACAAGAACACCTAGCCAGTCACCTAGTATCTGGCTCCTCACTGCCGCGTATTGCAATTGCTCGGCCCTGGAGCCATGATTGAAGATTAAAGTTAGCACTTTCAGCTGGACAGCCGTCGCTCAGAGGGCTGAAAGCCACCACACCCATGGCATCATCGGAATATCTTCGGGAGTAGAACATGTGACATTACATTTTTATCTTCATAAAGAGTGTACTAGTGGGTATCAGATATCTGAGCGCAACGCAATACATGAAACAGCCCCCAAGGGGAATATATGTTCAACGAGTGCCGACAACAAATAAACAACGATGGGGAACAGGCAAACTACAAGGCCACAGAGATGCTTCACACCAGTTCGACTCCTTCTTCATTGGGATAATAGTCACCCACCTAAGGGAGGCTTGCTAGCCCAGCGTATCTGCTCCTCTGGCGTGGGCTGTGAAACGGCTGTGCTGTCGCTCGCGATCGTGGTTTGGCTAAGGCCGCGCTGATTCGATGGGCGTCTTTCTACAATAGTCACAGTGGTGGCTTCCGCCTTCGTCTCATTCTTTGGGCCGACAGCTTCACCGGCTGCAGCTGTCTCGGCAGGGTGCGTGGGCCGCGAGGTTGTCGCCTCCTCCTTGTGGCCTGCCAGCCTTTCGTCGATGTTGGTTGATAGTGACGTGTCGCTAGGGCCGCGACTGTGCAGCGGGCTATTCAATGGGCTTACGCCTGGGTTGCACTGCCCCTCGTCGCCAGGTAGCTCAGCAATGGGCGTCCCAGGTGTATTCTGGCCTGATGAGGCGTGGTCTCTCTGTACACTACGCCTGTGCGGCTTCCCTGGCGTGAAATAATCTCCACCTCCACCGACGTCGCTCGCGCTTTCTGGGGGTGGGCTATACAGCTCGACTGGCGGGCTGTCTGGAGACATCTCGCTGATGGGTGGAACAGATTTGTGGTCGACTGAGTAGTAGCCAGTAAGTGGAGTTATTGGCGAGTTCGGAAGATCGGAGCCCGTGAGCTCAGAGACACGCCGATATTTGACCTCCTGGCCGGCTAGTGTTGGATCGATCTGTCGGGTTTGGTAGGACTTCTGAGCAGCTTCTTTCTTGGTATTCCGTTTCCTCCAACAACAGACGGCGACAATGCCAGCTATAACGAAGGCTACGACAATACCTATCACAGCCCCAGCAATGGCACCTGGAGCCAAGCCTCCTCCTGACGAGCGTGCCGTAGGATTTGTTGTCTGATTGTAGATACTCACGAGTTTTTGTTGTGGCATTGGGTCGGCGTAGTAAACTGGAGCGACTGTAAAGTTGAGGTTTTCGTAGTCGACGATAATATATGCCTCTTGGAGAAAAGTGCGACCCAGAGTGTACACGCCCCTCTTCGACTTTTTGATGGGAAAGTAGTTCGATGTATTCCCTCCCACAGGAGTCCACGAGTGATCGAACGCAGAATACCCAAGTTCGACGCTTGTAAACCTACCACTGTCGGTTGGGCCCTCCGCGATTTTGAAAGCGACTGTGCCATTCTGTTGTTTGTTTCTTTCATGCGACGAAGCGTTCACGAAATACAAATTTTGGGTCTCGTCGTATTTGAGGCCGAATGTTGCTTCAAATTGGTCGCAGATACAGTCGGGCAAGATCAAAAAGGGTAACATCGAGTCGATATTGGCTCGAAAGCCAGTACAACCTTGAGTAGTAAAGGAGGTAGGGTTCACCGCCACGCCCGGGTTCGAAGAGTAGATGATTGAAGGAATACCGATCTCGAGGGTGTACGTCTGGTCATTGGGCATGTGGAGGGATAAAGTCTTGTCAGTCATACGAGACTTGTCGTAGCCACCGAGAACAAGATTACCAGGGGCTCCCTTCTCGTTATTTCCTAGCTTTGGTCAGCCAGTGCGGTCAGTTCAGGTCCTTTGCGGGCTGTAGACATGTTTCTTCGGTTGTAGCCAGTAACTGTTTCTAAGAGGCGGGTGGGCCGCGAAAAATAGTACTTACTGTACCAAGCGCCCGCGGTGTAGCCATAAGATATGCTCGCAATCTTGCCAACGGACTTGAACTGTGTCAAGAAAGTGGGTTTGGTCGCGCCGTCGCCGCCGACTGAACCCATCGCAAGTCCGAATGAACCCAGGTAGTAGTCCTTGAAAATATACCAGGCGATATATATGTCCTGAAGAACGGGGCTCGATTCGTCGCTGAGGCCAAGACCAACATTCGTCGACCCCCATTCCCCGCGCAGCGACATATTACCTTGAACCAGGTCTTGAGAATACCAATCAGGAACTGGAATACTAAAAAGTCCCGCAGTCATCCAGCTGCCTGATTTTTCCATCCCAAGAAGCTGCTGACCTCCGCTGGAGATGAGAATACCCCGTTGTTCTGCACATTCTTTCGTAACGCACCATTCAGTACTTCCCGGTACGAGGACCATTGGCGAGGAAGTGAATATGAGGACCTTGAAGTTCTGACCATGGAGTCCCTGGCTGTCGGAGTTGACATTGATGTAGAAAGTCGACCATTTTCCATCGTTTCCATCGAAAGTTCCACTGGTGTTGACGACTATCGGAACGGGTATTGTCGTCACTTCGTCACGCTTCTGGAGATGCATCGTAGCGTGATATAAATGACGAGCAGAGAAGATTTGAAAGGGTCAACGCGCAATAACAAGGTTTGAGGACAAGGGCACAAATCGCAAAAAGACTGGCACGTCTCGATGGGTCGGCTGATCTGAGCAGCAGCATCGCATAAAGCGGAAGTGTCAGCTTGGGCTGGCAAAGGGGGCCGCAGGGCCGCAGCTTTCCTGTGCGTCAGCGTCACAGCGTAGACGTGATGCCTTCAAGACAGGGCCAGCCGGGTGATGAAAAGACCGCTCTCTGTCGAGCAACCTCCACGCCAGAAGCGGGGTACATTCATCGTACTGCCAGCACGACAGCTGCGTGCGTTACACTCGTCAAGGACCCCTACAAACGACTGGTCTATGTTTACCGGTGAGGGAGAGCAGAATCTGTGGGCGCTACCAGGCTGACTATTGGAGGAGAAATAAGCAGGATTTGCCTCGCAGAATCTGGCGCTTTATGCTCAGACCAGTCCAAACAAATGTGTGCTAGAGCTGCATGCAGGGCTGCAGCAAGAGTGAGGTGGCTGAGGAAGGAGGATTAGAGAAAGGCGCGTTGGATGCTATGCTAGGAAAGGACTAGTAGCCGCCTTTGGTACCAATCAGCAGGTGCTAGCAAGCCCCGCTAGATTGCACGCCCATGCAGGCCGTTTGCTGCCTCCTGCAGAGCCGCAGAACAATGCCTTTAGAAGTACCCAACGCATCAAACTTACCGTCGCACAGCCCCCGCTTGTTATGCCCGTTGAACATGCGAACTTGGCTCTGTGCAGTCAACCATCGCAAGCCTCGCGGGACAGCTGATGGCCGCGCAAAAGCAACATGATGCTATCGAGAGCCTTACTTCAGATCCGGCCCCCAGTATACCGCGCAGGCCCTGTCACCCACCATCATAATCCTGCCTTGCGCTAAGCTACCCATCCACTGACGACCTGCAGCTGTCTAGCACTCTGCAGGCAGGTCGCCAGCTTCTACCAGCCCTTTGGTACTGTCAGCAAGCGGCAAGGGCGTGCGGTAGCGAGTAATGTCTGGACCACCGATCGAGATAGTGTGCGTATAGTCTTACACCTGCCCGACCGTATCTAAATAGAGAGGAGCCAAGTCTTACGTCCGCATTCTGCACCACGTCCGATGCTTCCTTGGCCGTACCTCCACCTCCTTCGTCATCCGACCACCAGCGGTATTCACCTCTACCGCATGGCGGTCACGTTTTTGCCTCAAATAGGTTTAGGGGTAATGTACTGCCTCTCTACGACTTGCTGCGGTCCTGGCCGAGCGGCTGTCGAACGGCGTGCTGCCAAGTCGATCGTTGCCTTTCGCTCGCATGACTTGGGCCCGGAACGTGGTGTCTACCCATTCTGGTAGGCAGGATTGTTGTTGAAGCTTGGATTCGAGCCCTGCAAGCTCAATGGTACGCTACTGTAGCTGTGGACTGCTTGCTGCCGTTATCCTTCCCTTATAGCCACGAGCTGCTGCTCGCTCGCCTTCCCTCTCCTCAGCTCCAGCCTTCAGCCTATCGTGACGTTTGAGGTACGTGAAATTACTACTAAGCCCTTACACAACCCTTTGGTACCAAGGCAGGTCATCTCCCACTATGGCATCTCAATTGTGCGACTCTATAATCGGCTCGGCTGTGTACTGGTCAAATTTCCCCCAGAGCTAGGGCGCCCTGCATATGAAGATCCGCCACAACTTTACAAGTCGTCTCACGTGCATGTCTGATCATCAGTCGCAGTCTCCAGCTGGCGCGCTCGCTCGACCGGTTACAGTGTTCGCTCGTTTTCAAAAATGCGCGGCATTTCGTATTTGCTGGTTCTCGTTGGGGTGGTTGCCGCTCAAGGCAATGTGACCCTTCCTACGAGCCCGATCCCCTCCAGCCCATCAACTTCCGATACAACAGAAGAACAGCCGGTGCTCTCAATAGTAGGAGGAGTCGGCTACAACACCTGCAAAGCAACAACAAGATGGGTCACGCCAAAGCCGATCTACGTAACTGTTACAGAGAAAGTCCCAGGGCCCAAAGAGACTAAGACGATTACTACTACGTGCTACGAAACCATCCACGACACGAAAACACTCACATCTACGACTACCTGCACGGTGGTAAGTTCCTATCATTGTCTTGCTTTTCGCGGAAGATGTAATGTCGACTCTTGTGCGGCTGAACACGTCGCCCACGGGCCTTGCTGCTTCAAGGAAAGACATTCAGCGGGAATCCATGGCATTCTTCTGACCTTATGGGATATCCGGTGATCACAATAAATTTTGCCAGGCGAAATTACACCTACAAGACGAACTGCGCTAAAGAAATCTCCAGACCACCACACAACCAGGTGTTAATATCACGACGACGGAGGCGGGTCTTCCCAACGATACGAATGTAAGAGTACTTTCTAACCTCGAACAGACTAGGACATCGACTATTTCGGTCCCCTACACTATCACAGAGCCTGCGTTGCCCGGGCAAAACTACACAATCACCGAGACTACCGTACGTGCTCTGCAAGATGTCCTCTACCTATTTCAAGGGCTTATTGATTATCTTCTAGACCTGCACGAGTACTCTTAGTTCGACTACGGTACGTTGTCAATATCTCACGACTTGACGATGAATAGTGCTGACCTCAGTAGACATGCACCACCACGGTGACGAAGGATATTACGCTTTCGGGCTCAGACATCTACGTCACGGTACCTGGCCCTACGATCACTCAAAATCAGACATATACCGAGACATCTACAATTATAAGCGTACGTTCCAGCTCTTCTCTATCGCACTAGATTGAATATTCTTGTGGTAGTTTGCCGTGGCCGCACCGCGCTTTTTCTGTGAAAGGCTGGCTTCGCGCCCAGACTCACAGAATTTTGGAGTGAGCTCCTGCGCGTACCTCATAATCCATACGATTCTCTGGTGACTACGATACTTCTGTTGCCGTAGCCGATTTATTTTGGCTGCTCGAGGGCTCGCGTGCTCTTACCATTTTCAAGCATGCGATTTGCTGCCCGTCCACGACAAGACAATCCAGTGTCCATCACTGACCATACACAGCTTGTTCTAACCACGAAGGTCGATGAAACCACGAGACACATAACAGGTAAGCCATTCCTCATCTCACGTTGCAGAAAACCTCGGCCACAGATATTAGTGCAGCTCCAGAAATCCTTCCTGGTTGCAGGTGGTGCACAGATGAGCCTTGAATACCTCCCATACCCCTGAGAGTTCGGTTCTCCCATCCGAATTTTGCACCAATTCCCAGGTATCCATGCACTAATAAAAAGTCCAGACTGGTCGACGTATGTCAGCACAGCGACCTACTCGACCTGGATAACCTCCTATATCACTTCCTGGATCCCAATAACTATAACCGAGCCAGGTAAAACGTACACATCCTGGGCCACCACTGTCATCACGTCGTTGTACCCCACCACTACAACAGAGCGCACCTCATACACCGAGACAGTGGAGAAGACCATCGAGACGCCTGGGCCGACTATCGAGGTCACTAAAGTCTCAATTGAGACGCAGCTGAGTGTTCAGACGCAACTCAGTTACATCAAAACTACGAGTCTCACTACGACCACAAAGCTGGAGGAAGTCACTTCAACGTCGTACATCACCAGTTCCTACCCAGTTTATGTCACCTTGCCCAGAGAGACCACGACTACTATCGAGACCTCGTGGATAACGACAATCATTCCCACAACATTTGTAGAGACTTCTACATTGACCACATCGTTCCCAGTGACAGAGGTTGTATATGTGCCTACGACCGAGCGTACCACTGAGCGCCTTACTGAGCGATCCACTGAAACGAACTATATCACTACAACGGAGCTACGAACAACAACAACAACTTCTTACAGCACAGAGATGATCACAACCGAAATCCCCGGACCTACAAGCACAGCTACGTTGACAATCACAACTTCCTACCCTGTTCTGGTGCCCACAACATTCACAGAGGCGGTCTCTTACCCTGTGACGACTGTACAGACTCTTCCAACTACTGTGGAGATCACACGAGTCGAGATTTCGGTCGTCACAAACATGATGGAGCGCACGGTCACGAGCGTTTCGACATCTCTGTCCACCATTGTGCTCCCGCCATCGACCAGCGTGATCACATCTACCATTTTGACCACTCAGATCGTTACTACACAGCTCCCCCCCAGCACAATTCTTTCGACAGTCACAAGCACTTCTATCATCCCTCCGATTCCAACTACGATAGCATCGGGAACTGCAATCACGCTTCCGGCAAGCACATTTACTACAAGTTTTGTCTCGACTATATTGCTCCCCGGCCAGGTCACTACAAGTACTCTGACTCAGCCGGGCTCCACACAGATCATCACGAGCCAGATTCCGGCATCGACAACGGTTTCGACTGTGATCTCTTCGCTTTTGATCACGACAACCGAACTGGTGCCTACTACGATTTTGCAGACTGTGACGGCTCCCGTTAGCTCAGCATCTAGCGCTAGCTCAACCAGTCCAGCTTCGATTTCTTGTTCGAGCGATTGCCACATCTCTGTCCAGGCAACTCGTCTTGAATATCCTGGTTCAGTCATCGTATCTACAGTCACCGTACCTACAGTATTCGTGGATATCTACACGGATGACGCCGGAAATGACGTCAGCACCGTAACTCGGACCGAAACACTTCCACCGCAGAGCGACATCCCGACCTGGAACTACAATGGAGTTCCCTTGACATATGGGACAATTTACGTTGCGTACGAGATCTTCAGTCAGACGCGTGTGGAAATAGTTTCGTCACATTGCATTACCGATGTCATCACTCTGGACTTACCTTCGCCTACGAACTATGCTCCGCTTATTGTTAAGTCAGCAGATATTCCTGATACTAAATACGTACACCCTACTGTGAAGGCCTATCTTGATAGCCTACCAACGGTAAGAGAGCAACTTGGTGGGCCCATTGAAACAGCTTGCGATCCAATCGCGAGCAGTACTGCGACCCACAGCACGAATACTGCCCTGCCTACAACATTTGCAACGTCAGTTCCAGCTCTGGAAAATGTGACCCAAAGGTCTCCCACGCCGGCGGTGAGCCAAGTGGCTCCGAGCACATCGGCAACGGCAACACCCTCAAGCGCACCACCATCTCAGCAACCAAGCCCCAGTAATGCTCCCTCTTCATCTCCAACCGCATCACCCAGCGCGACAGCAGAGCCGAGCATCGAGACTTCAACGCCAAGCAGTGCTACCCAGGAGCCAAGCAGTGCGACTCCGGAGTCTTCTCCAAGTGAGTCCTCGAAGCTGCCTTCTAGCCAGTCCCCTGCTCCTGGTAGTTCTTCACTAGATAGCTCTACTGTCCCTTCTTCAAGTGTCGCACCGCTCTCTAGGAGCGCCGCTGACTCCTCAACAGGTCCAGCCTCGTCTACCGCCGCTCCTCCACCATCTTCAGCAGTCAGCACACCTCAGCCTTCTTCGAGCGCACAGCCATCGTCTGCGCCATCTTCAATTCTCTCGTCGTCGCAAGAGTCTACTTCTGGAGAGGAAATTACGTCTGAGGCCGAAACCTCGTCCGAAATCGCACCGCCACCGTTGATCTCGTCTTCTCGGACATCCAGTCGACTCACTACCAACTCAGATGGTACAGCATCAAACTTCCGCCCTAGCTCCAGCCACCCATTTTCGACCTTCACTGGTGGCGCGCCACTACCAACAGCCATCGCAGGTTGGCTGGTTGGAGCCGCGGGTCTTGGCTTCGGCTTGTTCTAAGTCACGAGGGAATGCGAAGCATCTCTGCGCTATTAAGGTTTTGCGATGTTCACAGCCATTATTGATAATAATAAACACTTCTCCCGTCTCAACTGTTCTGCTCACAAGCATGCAATTGCACTTGTGCATCAATCGCTGACAGCATCCACTTGCGGGGGATCGCGTACCCTGCTGCTGAACCTGGCATTTTCAGCTCGATGTAGCCAAGAGCGCCAGGACACTCGTCCCCTGCAAGTCTTCGCAAGAAACCGTCTGCGATGCACCTTGCTCGTGCATCAATCGATAGTCCGGTCCGCGCCCCACTTCAATCCCTACGGTACAGGCCGCAGTGCCATTCCCAGCCTTACGCGTTGCACTTTCACGTCAGCACGCGCAAAGTGCGTGTCGTTCTTACTCAGTTCGGCAACGAAGGTGGAACATCGACGTGAGAACACCGCAGATATAAATACTAGCACGTTGTGTCTTCAAGCTCTCCTTCTTTTCTCTTCTGTCGCACCACGTCGCGCACGCAGAAACGCCTCGCGAGCACGCGAACTGAACCACAACAGGCCTGGAGCGAGCCAAGCGAACGCCACAGCAGAGTTGAGGGTGTGAGACCCCGAAGCTTCTCGGTCAGCAAGCGGGGCCGCATCATTCCTGCATCGCGACCCGGCCGCGCGAGTTGATCGGTAGCTGGGTGAAAGGAATTGTGCAGAAGGCGTTGGTGATGTGTTATGGTGACGGGTGTGGAACTGACAGGCGCACCTGGCGCTTGGGTTAGGCGTCCTGGATGCATGGGCAGTTGCGTTTTCCATAGGTGCGGGTGTCACTTGCTGTGAGAAGGCTGAGAGTAAGAGCGATCGCGATGCTTTGGACCCCAGGGTTGAGAGGTGTTGTGCATCCGCAGGTTTTTCCTGCTGTATACTTCAACCTGTTGATCTCGCGAGCGGCGAGAATGCGTGCTGACCGTGTTCAGCTGGGCCCCATCTTCTGTCAGGGTGGTCCTTGAGCTCGGTCTTCATGAACAAAGACACGGTGGAACCCAAAATAGACTGAACGCAACAAGGAGCGCACAATGAGCCTCAAAGAAAAAACTCGTGGTCAGTTCTCTGGTCCGCATTGGAGACTACTAATTCGGACGCAGCGTTTCCTCGGTATCAATTGACGTCCGCGTATCATGATCGCTATGCTGTTGTTCTCCCCCGTTCCCTCAGCGGCTTTACAGTCTAATCGGATTCGTCCATTTAGAGTACCCTCTTCGCATTGACGCAGTAAATTGAACGACTTTGGAAATTGAACGGGCTTTGTCAGGAACAGGTCGACGCTAGCACTGACAGCTCTATCCCCGTCCTCCTGACTAGTCAGTCCGGTCAAAGCTATGATGACAGAGTCTTTGTTGGTGGCCGGAGCACGCTCGTACCTAGATTCCATCTTACGGATCTGCCTCGTTACCTCGAAACCGTCCATGACAGGCATCGATAGATCTCGACATTGGTCAGCTCTTGGCGATCAAGCAAGCGATCGTGAAGTGGAGACTTACCCATGCCGCGGAGATGATTGGTAAGGGAATCGCGAACAAATTTCGGGAAGCCGTAGATGACCACCAAGAATTTTCGGTTACAGATGGCCTGAATGTTGCGCTCGAATTTTACTGCTGCTTGGCCTCTCTTGTCGTCATCGGGTCTGCAAACTTTCACCAGAACCCGCACAGTGATCTCAGTGTCCTCTTCCTCCTCGCTCTGAACTTGGATCGCACCACCCAGCAACGTGATCAAGCCCTGGACTATTGAAATGTCTAAGCTAACCCCATTAGTTGAAGTCGAATCTTCTTGCGTGAACGGAAGGAAGAGATGGTTGTGCACGAAGGCCTTAGACATGCCCCTGCCTGCGTCTTGGATATGAAGGAAGCGTTCGCCCGGCGTCGAGATCATTGCTGACCATTTGTGGATCTTCAATCGTTCTAAGTGCACTCAGTGTGACTATCACTGATCCGCTCTTGGTACATTTCAATGCACTACCAATAAAGGTTGACCGCAATTCGTCTAAGTGCGCCAGGCTCTGTGTGGTAGGTCCATTTCTCTTCGTGCATGAGATCACAAACCATGACATCGCTGCCATGCGAGATTTGGAGGCTGTCGCAGCAGATATCATGCCTATTTACCAGCCAATTCAGGGGTGCAAATGTATGTACATTTTGCCTCTATTTTGGCTGCAACAGAGGCTCTTTCTAGCTTCAAGAATGCCGAAGATCTCTTCGCACAGTATCGTAAGATTCATGCAGACGTATATAGCCCCTTATAGTCTCTATCTGGACCAGAAGCAAGGTCTCTCTTGTCAGAAAGAGCCTGCAAGGTGTTATGGGGATGCCTATGACGATAATCTCGTTGAAGCCGTTCGAACTTGTTGATCTTTGCGTAGCTGAGCACGCTGGTGAGGGTTTCGTAAAGCGTTAATCCACAGGTTGACATCATACCTGCAAGCGACTTTTTCAGGGGATCAAGGTCTAATTCGTCGAGAAGTCTTACTGTACCCAGGATTGAATGAAGGGGGGTCCTTCAAAACTTAGTCTCTAGAATTGCGTTCGAAGGGGATACACGCTCAGTTCGTGGCTCACAGAGGAGGTAAACGTCTCTTTCTGTTTTGCAACATGCGATGCATCATGTTGCGCAGTCTCGGACTCCACAGCGTTCAGGAATACCTTTGATGGACCCAGATCTGCGGCATCGGTGAAGATTAAAATAGACTTCATTCCCCACGCAAAGCATGTGCCTAGCCGCTGAAGCGAAGTCAGATCTGTGAGTGGTCGGAATATGAGTTGGCGAACATTCTTGAAAGTCGGAGCTGAGTCTGAGTTCCTCTTCTTCTGAGTCAATATCAACCAGAGACTTGTTCTTAGCTTGATTGAAGGTAGAATTACTAGTGTTCCATACTGTGCCGCTGGAATGACGATTCGTCAGTCTTTGCAAAAAGCCTTCATCGATGTCTTTCAAGCCCAAGGTAGATCCAGAAACTTGTTCCAATCTCAATACCTCACTGTCTCCAGAGATACCGAGAACTTCGGCGGGTTGTTCGATGTAAATGCCTTTCAGGTACTCCACGCTGGTGAAGATCCTGCTGTATGAACAGGGTGAATCTGGCCAGTGTGGATTGTCAATACCATCCGTATCGTCCGGTCGGTTACTCGTTGCTTTCGCTGATGCCGACTAATTAAGGTGGGCAGGTGGATGCACGGTTTCGCGCTCAAGCTCTTGTTCTGGCTCGGCAGCAGACTGTGCCTCTCCATGGTAGCCCATAAGGCCATCGACTAACACAACGCTGTCAGTTTTCAGGGCAGAGCGCAGACACTCAGCGGCTCTTCGAAAGACTTTCCAGTTTGCCGTCTCGCCCTTTCGCTCACCATCTTTTCCTCGCTTGGCTGTCAACGGCTTTGCGTCTTCCGCGTCGTCGCACTTAGCGTGGATATGGTCGCGCTCAGTCTCGGTATCGACCAGTCTTTGTGACTCTCTACTTTCGACTGGTGGATCACTCACACCTGTCAGCGGCCCGGGTCTTATCCGCTTCACTTCATGTTCTTCTGACTTATCCATGGCTCCCTTCATCCTCGATGACTTGCGCCCTTCCCAAGTCCGAGGTTCCTCCCGTGATGAAGCACATAACGAGCGTGATTGGAGGAATACTTCGAGTTCTTCCTGCATAGCCGTCCACTTGTCGTGAAAGTTACGCTCCCTCGCCAGCTCCAGCAAGTTCACACATCTTCGTACAGTATTGGTTAGGAATTCGACCTCGGAGGCAGCCAATGGTGGTCTTTCATCTGGATCCGCGACCCAGATGGCGCCAATATTGTGTCCATCCTCCGTGGTCAGAGGAACGCCTGCAAAGAACGATAGCTTTGCCGGTGCTGAAACTGCTGAAAGGTGGGAGGTTCGGGGGTCTCGTCCGAGAGTCGGAATACTGAATGCACTTTGGCTTTCCGAATCTCGTTCAGAAGCTTCGCTGGTGGGGATTTCCTGGAAGATCGATATCATGTCGATCGATCCGTGTCTCCTATGAGTGACCATGTATCGTCCTCCAAATCGAACCTGACTTGCGAGAGGCTGTGGCTCGCAATTACTATGTGACCGCCCGTAACGAAATGCAAGCGATTCCCGTCGGTAAGAACTAAGAATGCTCCTTGTATCGCTGCGTGTGCTCGTCAGCGAATGTTATCAGCCTAAGAGTAGCTGCAATACCAAGGCGCAGGATTGTGAGTTCCAAGCGATCGTTCAAATATCCGCGAAGACCTGCTTCCACCGCAGGGAGGAGCGCAGAGTCTCCGCAGAATAGTTGGAGATATCTACTCGACACGCAAGCGGGGTTCGCACGTTGGGGCGATTAGAGAGCTAGTCTTACTTGCTCAGCTCATACTCAGCTTGAGCCTGCTGCAGAGTTGTGATCTCCATAAAGCTGTCTGCAATGCGTTCGTGCTGAGAGTAGCTATCGACACTCCACCTCGGAGCTGGATGGTGTAAATGTAGGCTGGCAGGGCCAGGGCGGCCGGAGGAGGCCTGTAGTATGAGGTGAAGCTTGCATCTCGAGTCTGCAGAGTTCCTGAAGTCAGACGGTGCGCCTTTTTGCGCCTTTCTTGAAGTTTATGATAGTGATAGCGTGACACTCGAATCAGGAGGAAGGCATAACTTCTCGACCACCACGTCTCAAAACATCGCAGCCCACTTCATTGGACCGCCAGAAGAAGCATATTAATAGCAAACGCTTCGTCGACTCGTGTCGCAAGGCGCGGAGGTATGCTGCATGTGTATACGCTCCTTGGAACACATGTTGAGGCTTCTAGGGTCTTCCAAGAAGTTATCCTCACGAGATCTGTCCTGGGTTCCACGAGAAGGATAGCTTTGTGAACGATTTTCGGTGGATGACAACAGTACAGCGTGGTACACTGGGTGCATGCCTCCGTTATTGCGCTGGGCTGGGCAACAAGTGGCTACGTCATCGCGCAACGAACACGAAAGCCGAGGAAGGAACAAGGAAGGGCGCGTGATGTGCACAGAAAGAAGTGAAAAAAGGTTCGCAAGTGGCAATGAGCTGGTGTCCGCCGTCTGTCAGGAGACCGGCTTGAGCTTGATCTGGGCCACCAGTATAGCCTAGGTATGGATAGATCTATTATGCAGCTGGTGGAAACCTCCAGTCTAACATCGCAGGGTTCTTCAATGGTTCCATTCCCGGACAACATCATACCGACGAACTTTTGCAGACGTTCGAAATCAGGTCCGACAAGGGGTAGTTATAACTTCGTTCAGCAGGGTCCGCTCATCATCCTGTCACAGGTGTCTGACAAGGGACTTGCGACTGACAGACAATGCCATCGACCTTCGCATGACATGCGGCTCGGTGGCGGCTGGCAGCTGTGAGCATTGCATACCGCACAAGGCGAAACAGAGTCCGGAACAAGACGCGTAGGCCAATGCTCAGTTTGGCTGGGGTTCTGACGGCACCTGAAACGCTGACAACCCCAGCTGATCTCAGCCCAACTGTGCGACTGGTCTCAAGATTGAGCATCGGCGCGTACCATCTCGTCGACACCAGTGCTTGATCAACACAATATGGCGCCCTGACCCCCGGTTCGGCGATACTTCACCACCCGTCCTCGGCCTCATGTTTCGATACTCGTCGTCAGCAACACGGGCACCACCGACGTCTGCTGAGTGCGACCTCACGCAGCGGTTTCTGTCAAGTTTCAAATAACAGTGCCGCGTGGATGTCTACGAGTACGTATGACTATTTCTGTGAGTATATAGAGGCAGAGCCGCAAGTATCAAATATCTTCATCCAGTCAACCATCTAGTACTTCATCGCAGGCGATTCCTTCAATTCTCATACTCTTCTTCATTAACCGGCCGGTCCGATTTTATTCTCAATATCCAAGATGCGTTCATTCAGTGTCCTCCTCGCTCTTCTTTTCGCTTTCGCCGCGACGTCTTACGCCTGGCCCAGCGCTGAGTTCCCCAGCCTCGAAGCTCGCAAGCAGGATGGTGGCAACAGCACCAAGTCCAACGATCCCCAGCGCGCCCTCAAGAAGTCATGCCAGAAGATGCGCAAACTCAATGCTCTTTCTGCGCTCGCCATGAACCAGACCAAGCTTGATGCATGGGTCGCTCAGGGCAAACTCGACGCCGCCGAAGTCAACACTATCAAGGCGAAGGCTGCAAATGCTACTGAGACGCTTAAGACTATGGAGTCTAATGCGACTCTTGTCAGTGAATGCGCCGTCGTAAATGCTGAGCGAAAGACCATCGGCCAGTGCAACCAGATGAAGATGTTGACCAAGCTTGCTGCACTGGCAGGCAACGCGACCGCCATGACTGCGTACGAGCAGAAGAAGAAACTCAACGAGACTGGTATCGAGAAGCTTAAGGCCAAAATCGCAACCGCGCAGACCAAGTTGACCGAGATGAAATCAAACACCACTCTCACGACCTTCTGCACCCAGCGGGCCCAGCAGCAGCAACAGAAGGGCGATAGTGAGTCCAATTCATGCAACCTCAATGTACAAATACTGACAACATCTAGCCTCCTCATCCGGCTCGTCCTCTGGCGCTACCGCCGCAGGTCAGACACAGGCTAAGAGCAGTGCAGCAGGTCTCACCGCACAGACGATGCCGTACATTCTCGTACCCGCGCTTGCTGCCGCCTTCGCACTATTCTTGTGAGCCTCAGAACAGCAAACGGCATCGACCCGATAGCCGCTGGTCAGCGCCGGGAATCTCGCAGCAAGATCACGAAGTGACATCCGCAGTGCGCGATGAACCCATCCTTCACCACAGCGGACTGCAGTGATCACCCTATCAACTTCACTTCTGTAGTCAACCATCAATAATAGCCACCATATACGTAGCCCTCAAGAACATCCCGTGACCATCTAGTTCTCGAGTCTCGCCTCACCCATTCGTCTGCATTCTGCCTAGCCTCGAACCCGCACCTCGTATTGAGAACCTTGAATTGAACTAACGTCGAGCACTCAGACTAGCCCTTCTTCGAGCCTAAGTTGCCCAGAGTGGATTATCGCGCAACTTACACAATGAAGGGTGCTCCGCCAACCAGATGGACTGATCGATCTTGATCAGCATTGCCTCCACCCCTGCGGTCAGTATTCGCGAGCCAAAACAACGAGAGCGGTGTTGATGCTCGTCTGCAATCGATGGGTGCTGTAATGCTTTTCGAACGGCCCGTCAAGACTGCTGACACCAGAAACACTCATGAATTTTGACGGTAAATTGGCTTTGCCGAGGTACGCAAATGACTCCTCATGTCTCAGACCATGTGGCATAACATCATGATCTCCTGCGACGACTCAATTGATTTGCTGTGCTGGGTATCAAGCATGCGTGCTCATGACCACGTTGCCGTCTATGCTGTGCCTGGAGCAACGCCCATGGCCTCCAGCTGCTTCTTGGCTCCCCACTGCTTCTCAACCTTGATTTTCTCCAAAATCTTTCCTGCACCCTTCTCGGTCAGTACCTTTGCGATATCTCTGCCAAAGGCGTCGGCTTCATCTGCCGATCGGACCTTGCGCGCAGCCTCGTGCTCGACGAACTCTGTCCCGTCTACGCTGACGACAAGTGTCTTGAGAACCAGCTCTTGATCATCGAGGTCCGGCTCTGAAGTCTCAAGAGCTGCACCGTGCTTGTCGTAGTCCCTCGCTGGCTGCGTGCCAACCGCGAGGCCCTTGCCCCCACGCCATGTTGTCTCAACACCGATGGGTACACTGCAGCCGCCCTCGAGTGTTCGCAGAAGCGCGCGTTCTGCACCGCATGCTCGCGTTGTGCGCTCACACCGGATCTTGCTGAGCATGTCTTGCATAGGCTGGTCATCTTTCCTGATCTCAATGCCCAGCGCGCCTTGTCCCACAGCGTGCAGCATACCGCCAGTCGAGCTCGAGAGCTTCTGGCTGATGCGATTCGAGAAGCCTATCCTGTTCAGCCCAGCAGTCGCCAGGATAATAGCGGAGTACTGCGAGTCCTCGGCATCTAGCTTGCCTAACCTCGTTCCAACATTGCCTCTCAGGTCAGCGAATTGCAAGTGTGGGTAGAGCTTGCGTAGCTGAGCGGCACGGCGGACTGAAGATGTGCCAATGGTGGCGCCCTGCGGGAGAGTGGCGAGTGTAGTCTCTTTCGGGAGACGGGGCGAGATGATGAGGGCGTCGCTGGGGTCTTCGCGCTCGAGGATGGCGCCGAGGAGGAGGTTATCGGGGAGGTGGGTGGGCATGTCTGTGTGAATTAAGCAAATCTAGCCTGTCAAGCCTTGATTTCCATACCCTTCAGACAGTGGACAATGATATCCAGGTCGCCCGCCTCCAGCATGCTCTCCAGCTCGCCAGTCCACAGACTCTTTGCATTCTCGCCTTGGCTAAGTTGCTGTAGAGGCGTGATCTTGTCCCTGTCTCCCTGCACCATCACAGGCTTGATCTCGAACGTGCGGTCTGGATAGGCATCTTTTAGGGCTTGCTTGACGGCATTCGCCTGGATCAGAGCAAGAGCGGAATTGCGGGTGCCAATGTTGACAGTTGAAAATTGTGTGCTTGCCGAGGTGTTCAAGCCCTGTGTTGTGATCTGCGATGACGTCTGGAGATCTGAAGCTGTTGCTGAAGCCATGGCGAATTGTACGAGGAAGGAGTGACTGTCAATGCGGCAGGAGGCGGCTGCAGCTGTAAACTTCTTTCCGCTGAGCCTCTGGAGATCGCGGGGCACGCTTCGGCGTCACGTCACAGCCCCACTAGTTAGCGCCAGGTACGCCTCCGCCGTCAAGCAGCCTCACCTGATGACAAGCTTAACATTCCCTATGCGATGAAGCAAATATAACCGTACCTTGTTCGGCCTAACAGATCTGGCCCTTCACAACATTTTGAGGGCATCGTTGCGACCTGTCGATAGCTCAAAGCAGCTAGAACTCGCACACAATCACGCGACTCGGGAGTCGATCACGACCTTGACAAGCATTTTCCAGAGGATGCCCAAGCTGCGAGACCGAACGACTGAATCCTCGAAATGAGCCATGCGACTGCGGATTCGACGCCCCCTTCCAGCTTCTTGCAGTAAGCGCTACGACGAGGCTGTGCCGTGTCATGTCAAGCAACACTCTCCTGCGGTCGCCTCAGCCCTCAATCTTTCCACTAAGTCTTGCCGTGAAGATGCATGCAAACTATACCAGCTACCAACGTGATATTCAGGCCGTGTCGTCGAATAGCCGGTGGCCGCCTTCACAATTGGGTTGATCACCACACGGAACCAGCTCTCAAGTTGTTTGCAGCCAGCGTTGCCAACGGGACGTATACGGCTACGGTAAGGGTCAATTGCCGTAACCTACGGCAATTATAGGCAACCGTAGCGTCCCGAAACCTACGTAACATGTGTGGCATACAGACAGTAGGCTTAGATACCGGTAATTTGCGTAGTACTTCAGTATTGCTGTGCACGTAACAAAGCTAAAAAGCAAAGATAATTAGGAAGTGCTTAGAGTGTGATTTGAACTTATAAGTGTACAAAGTAATGCTATTATTACTGCTGTAAAGGTAGGCATTAACACAAAAGAGCCAACAGACTCTATTCCTAGCTTTACAACCCTAATAATTGTACTTTAAAGTAAACACTAAATTTTGGCGTAGTACTGCCGTACTACGCCTCAATCTACAGCTACTTCTTGTATGGCTACGGCTCAATATAATTACCGCTGCTTACTGTTGCCTACTGCAGTACACCGTAGCCGTAGATTCCAGTACTACGTCCAGTTGGCAACGCTGTTTGCAGTGGAGGGATGCCAGATCTGTCGATTGCTCTTCCTCAAGCTTCAAGATCACGCTCCTGACGAGTTGGGCAGACGTGAGCGACTTCATATTGCCAGTCTGAGCCCTGACTTTGTGTACGTTAAAGTTACCAACGATGCCATCATCCGCTTCGAAGTGGTCAGAACAAGTACATCTTTAGCGATCTTGACATCCGCTTCGCTGATGCTGGATAAACTGTGGCTCTCGAAGTACGGAACTCTGTCCAGATACCACAGTATCCTACGACCTTATCAGGGCATGGCTGGGCACCTGTGTCACTCATCATCGTGCCTGCGATAGAGTAAATCTCGAAGTCACATACCCAATCCTACCTCCAGCATGGGCGAATCTACAACCTACTCACGTCTGCCCAAGACACATTTTGATCACCTCACACAATGAAGACATCCATCCTCTCCGCTCTGGTCGCTGCGTCAGCCTATACCTCCCCTCTGCTTGCGAACAGGCAGTCTTGCCCGGCTTCCGGCATCACTGCTGCCTGGTCGACCGAAGTATTGAACAAGTTCAAATCAGCTCAAGTAGTCCCAGATTCCGTGCCTAGATTCACACCCACAACCGATCTGCGCGTCAAATACGGCAACATCAACGAGAACCTCGGAAACTCATTCACCGTCATTTATAAGCCAGCACCCGCCCCAGACGCCACCACACCACCCACCCAAAACTCCCAGAAACACTCTAAGAACCCATCTTCTCCTTCGACCCAGAAGCCGACACCGACCCGGCGGCCACAAAGTATACCTACATCCAAGTCGACCCCGACGCGCCCGGCCCTTCGCTCCCCCTCCTGCGCCAGTTCTTGCATCACATCGTCTACGACGTGCAGCCGTCGTGCATCGCCGCGCAGACGCCCAAGACGTAGGTCCGCTACATGCCGCTAACGTCCCTGTCCGTCGTGGCGCACCGCTACGTGTCCTTGCTCTATCGCCAGCCGCCCAACTACACGTCGCGGCCGCTCGAACTGGTCGAGGATGTTGTCCGCGCGCCGTTCGATCTGCAAAAGTACGTCACTGAGGGCGGGTTGGTGCTCGTCGGGGGCAATTTCATGAGGGAGGGGCTGATGAAGACGCTTTGTGCGGTGGTGCCTGGGTGCTCGGCGACGGGCCAGGGATACACGGGGCCTAGGGATGGGAAGGCATCGCCGGATATCAGGAAGTATGTTGAGCAGTGAGTGAAGTGAGGGTTTTGTTGCGTGCTGGAAGCCTGCTCCCACACCTGGGTTAGCTTTGCAGTGTAATATATGATGTCCTGTTTGAACTTGGATAGGTTGACAGCTCCTTGTTGTGGCAGGAAATGCAATACCTCGAATCTTTTGTGTATTCGCAGCACCAAATAGATCAACGTTTATAAGTCTTCGCTGGGTCTAGGGCGTTAGCTGACACTGTGGTTTGTAAGGCTGAGTTGCACTGCGTGGGATTCACACAGTGAGGCCTGGTAGATGTAACAAAACCACTTCTCATGCGTATACTGTTTCGCTTGCTATGCGCTTGTTACGCTATGTCGACTCCACGGTGCGCTCTGTGGGACTGTAGAAGCCCTGCTGCTCATTATAGATTCGGAAGATGCGTAGTTGGACCTCCTCCATCCTTCGATGTCCGCAGCACTGGCGTCGCGGACCAATGCTATGCTGAGCCGGCAGTCCTTCAGAGTCGCGAATCTGGCTCGTAGCGCATATCGTATGTCGAAGTCGACTACAGCCGCTCTAGCTGAGCAACTCCTTGATATCCTCAATCCTCTGCACCCTCTTTTCGTCCTCACTCATCATACCAAGACTACTCGCACTGGCACATGTTAGCACGTTCCACACCTCTGAACATCATTCAAACTCACATGAACTTCTTTCTCTCCTGGATCCGCAACATCTTCTCCTCAATACTGCCCTCGACCACAAACCGTACCACCCTAACACTCCCCTCCTGGCCCATGCGATGCACGCGATCGATAGCCTGCGCCTCGACCGCGAAGCTCCACCACGGATCCATCATGAACACGTTGCGCGCACACGTCAGGTTCAGACCAACGCCGCCCGCGCGCAGGGACAGCAGCAGGACGAGCGGTTTCGGCGACGCCGTGAATTCCGCGAGTACTGTGGCGCGCGTCTTTTGCGCCATGGATCCGTCGAAGCGCAAGAAGGGGATATGGTCGCGGAGCAGCGCGGGCTCGATGAGGTCGAGGAAGGATGTAAATTGCGAGAAGACGACAGTCTTGCCTTTGGGGTCTTGCTTCATATTCCTCCTCAGGTGGGTGAGGAGGGCCTGTGTTTTTGCGCTGCCGGAGAGACCGATGCGGCGGAGACTGATGCGCGGCGTTTGCGTGGCGGGCGGTGCATCGCTGGCGAAGCTGTGTGTGGGGTCATTGGCGATGTGGTCGTGGCGCACGACTTCGAAGACGTCGCGCGCATTGATGGGCGCGCGGCAGTTGAAGCACCGCGGGATCTCGCCTTTGTCGCGCTGGTGGTTGATATAGTTCAGGAGGCACTCTTTGCATGCTGAATGCCAGCAGCCGGTCACGGCCTGGTCGACCATGGGCTCCTCGAAACACAGCGGGCATTCGGCGTCAGCCTCGTCTTGGATCTGCTTAAGGACGTGCGCGCCGAATTTGTTGACGTCTTGGTCGCTGTCGGCGGTGAAGCGCTCGATGAGACTGGAGAGATCCATATCATCAGCTAGGCCGTTTGCCAGGTCAGACGCCATGTTGCCTTCCAGCTCGTCGGCGACGACGTTGGCTTTTCGAGTCAAGACGGGGTGACAACACGACTGACGCAGCCGAAGGATCTGGGCGAAGATGGTGGTGTAGTTCTTCAGCAGCATTCCTGACTCGGCATTCTGCGTCAGAACGCTTTTTGCTCGCAGGAAGATATGATCGTACACATCTCGTTCGTCTTGTGACAGAACAATGTGTTCAACGTCAACGAACTTTGGGGGAAGAGGAACTAAAGCCTCCCCATCGGGCGTCTTCATATCCTTCGTTCGGCGCAGCACAAGCGGCTCAAGCACAGTTTGTACGACATCGAGTGCTCGGATGAACTCGCCCGCTTCGAACGGCACCGTGATGAACGTCTTCCAGAACGAGAAATTGCTCCATGGCTCGACCCTTAAGAAGCGCACCAGACTGAACAGATCTTCGAGACGGTTGACGATTGGCGTGCCGGTAAGCACCCACCGATGTCTCGCGCTCAGTTCATAACAAGCCTTGGCAGTTTTCGACTGCCTGTTCTTGATGTAATGCGCTTCGTCCAGGATGATTCGGAAGTAGTCTAGCGAGAAGATACCGCCGTGCGAGCCTCTGTTGCTGTCCTGGGCCGCCACCTGGTTGAACTCGGACAGCACTGTGCCGTAGCTGGTGATGATCACGTTTGGCGCGTTGGCTGCGTTAGATACACAGCAGAGCTTCTGGAGGTTAACGGCCTTGTCCGCACCGTAGTAGACCATAGCTTTGAGCGTGCCTTCTTTTGACGCCTTCTCAGCTTCGCTGTGCCACTGAGCGAGCAACGACATTGGCGCGATGACGAGCGTGGTATATGGCGCCGGCTCGATGTCCGCGCTGTTCTTCTTGAGGCGTGGGAGGGTCTTTGGCACCGATGCCTGCTCGAGCTGATCAGGCTGGTTCCTGCGCGTGTGGATCAAGCTCATCATCTCGATGGTCTTGCCTAGCCCCATCTCGTCAGCCAGGATGCCGCCCAGACAGTTCTGTTCTTGTCTTGGGAACTCGAGCGACAATTCGCCAGAATACGGATTGACATAGAACATGGATTGATTATCGATAGTGGGCAGGTCCTGGTTTTCGACATCCTTCACCGGCCACTGATACTCTTCCCACAGCGGATGCATGGAGACTTCTCGTTCGGCGAGTGCCTGGTCCTTCTCCTTTCCAACCATCCAGTGTAGCGCCTGCTTTTGGTACTTTCGGAGATCCATGACGAAGGTGTCTGCAGGTTCCATGGTGGGTGTATTGAAGTCAAACGACTGTGCCTTCTTGTACAGCGAGTCCAGCTGATCCTGCTCTAGCTCTGCACCCTCCTCAGCTTCTTCACCCGGCGGCGAAGACGTCCCGTTTGCTGTCTTTGGCTTCTCGTCCTTTTTCTCGGCGCTCTCTGCTGCCTGCAGCAGACCTTGACGCTTGTGCTTCGCCGTGGTCTCGTTCTGGCGTGACGGGTGCAGGTTGATGGACTCGAAAAGCTTCACCAAACCGACCTGCCGCATCCTCAAGTCACGCTCGTCTGACGTTTCCTTCTCTTCGAACAAGCTGACCTCCCTGTTGTCCTCGGGTTTGGTAAACTTCCTCTTGTCGAATGCGCTGCGCAGGAAGTAGCCATGTAGCTGTAAGTATATAGTGTCGCTCGTGCGAATGCGGTCTGGCACGTAGACGCAGCTGCCCTCGAAGGAGCACACTTTCTGGTCGATTAGGGCGGAGATCCAGGCTGCCGAGTCGTTCTCCAGTCTTCCAACCTCCTGCCCCCTCTCGTTGGTGAATCTGACGACGACGTCTTGTTTCTTGAGCGTAACCACGCGCTTCTTGCCCTTTGGCTGCATCTTGTAGCGCTCGATGGAAACGTTCTCACCGTGCTTGAGCAGTCCCGTTCCACTTGTTGTCGCCCAGCCGACCACGCCAAATGAGCCAATGTACCGCTTCGAGGGCATGTCTCGGACTATGGGGGCCATTGGAATCGACGTGCCAGACCCCTGCGAGGCAACGGAATCCTCGGACTCGATGCGCTTCAGTGAGCTGGCGATTGTCGCCTGGACGGCATGAGGGCGCGGCTGGAAGATGGCAGCGGGAGTAGGTGCGTTGGCCCATGAGCCGTCAAGATACAGGTTGATTGCTGGGTAAGTTAGCACGATCTTTGCACTCACGAGTGTGGTGGTAATCACCTCGTTCCACATTGCTGCTGCTGACATCCTTCAACTTCTGAAGCGTAGAATATGGCAACTCTCCAACAACCGCCTGGAGCATCCCGACGTCGAAGCCATCGATTGCCGCGGCATCTTCTTCCTCATCCTTCACATTCACTAGGCCCGGTGGTGCCTGTGGCGGGGACAGCGGAGGCGAGCTGCGATGCTTTTCGCGCCCCTGGGCGGGAGACGAGTGCTCTGCAAAGAAACGGCGCTTCTTCGCAGGCCGCTCGTCTGGATGAGAGCTTTCCATGGCGTCGTGAGCACAAACAGCCAGGATCCAAAGCAGTGCACTTTACGCGACTTGCCACGCGACGCGCCTTCCACGCTAGATCTGCATGACGGCGTCATCAGCGAATTATCGTGCATTCTTTGCGCTGACCACTGAACAATCCATCACTTCTGTAATTGTGCGCTGCGTGTTGCCTTGGTGTTTCTCTTCTAGCGTCCTGTAATCCACTGCATAGTCCTCTCTCGATGCAAGCTGCAAGACTCAGAGCAGCTCCCATCCGGCGCACATGCACAATATCAAAGCCACAGCAGCGGCGCATCCAGACATCGCAATGCTTCACCGACGCGCCACGCCCCTCGCAGGCTGAGGTCGAGCGGGCGCGCGCCTACTGCGCCAACTTCATCCGCACCTACGACACGCCCTCGCACGTGCTGCAGTCCTTCATCCCCCCGGCCTCGCGCGATGCCTACCTCGCCATTCGCGCCTTCAACGTCGACGTCGCCCGCGTGGCCGACACGACCAGCACGCCCACCGTGGGCATGATGCGCATGCAGTTCTGGCGGGACGCCGTGACAAAGGCGCTCGCCGGGTCGCCGCCCAAAGAGCCCGTAGCCATCCTGCTCGCCCACGCCGCCGAGGCCCTGCACACGCGCACCCAGGGCCGCAGCCGCCTCAGCAAGAACTGGTTCCACCGCATCATCAGCACGCGCGAGCAATTTCTGGGAAATCCGCCGTACCCGACCCTGCAGAGCCTCGAGACCTACGCCGAGAACACGTACTCGACGCTCCTCTACCTGACGCTGAGCAGCCTGCCCCAGGCCAGCATCACAACCGACCACATCGCCTCGCACATTGGGAAAGCAACAGGCATTGCCGCCGTGCTGCGCGGTGTGCCGCTGATCGCCTTCCCGCAGCCCCAACCAGGCGGCACAAGCGGCCACATAACGGGCCAGAGCGGACCGGCGCAGGGCGCAGTGCTGCTCCCCCTCGACGTCATGGCCGACGCCAACGTGCGCGAGGAAGACGTCTTCCGCCGAGGCGGCAGCGCACCGGGCCTGAAAGACGCCGTCTTCACCGTGGCCACGCGCGCAAACGACCACCTGATCACGGCGCGCGACATGCTGGCCAAGCTGCGTTCCGAGGGCACGTTGGGCCACGACTTCGAGCACCAGAACGATGAGGAGCATCGTTACGAGCAGGTCGATGCGGGCAAGGAGCAGCAGCTCGCCGAGGTCGAGCAGGCGTTTGGCGTGTTCATGGGCAGCGTGAGTACGCAGGGTTGGCTGGACAGGCTGCAGAAGGCGGATTTTGATCTCTTCGATCCAAGCCTGAGGAAGAACGATTGGAAGCTGCCCGCCAAGGCGTACTGGGCGTATTCAAGGAGGAAGCTATAAGAGGACAGACTTGTTGAGGAACAGATGCGTGGTATTCGGCAGGGTGAGAGTCAGCTCCAGCGAGCAGCGGGTGTTGACTCGGTGTATATTGACGGTCTTATCCCACACCTGCAGATTCCGTATCATACTTGATCTGCGAATCTCGACTTGAGTCACAGAGGCAGCCAGTCCTGGATACTTGCTGAGGATGGTGGTGTAGGCTTGAAGACCGTTTTGCGGAACGATTGCACTGCGCACAAGTGCCTCATGTGCGAGGGTGGAAAACTGGCGATAGGTGAGGGCGAGGCTGCATTGGTCGCTCTTGTCGAGGGCGAAGGCAATGGCGAGTAGGAGCTCGTGAGGTAGACTCAGGATGAAGTCGCTCATGGCGTGGTAATTGTGGAAGTAAGCCAATTGTGCGCGCTTGCGAATCGATCACTGTTCAGACAAGTCCTGGTGAGCGCGAAGTCCTGCAGTGATCAAGTATAACGGCGACGGCCGAATTACCAAGGTGTTCGACAACGGCAGCAAGATGAAGGCATATATCCCAAGGCCCTCATGTTCACTCTCATTACATTGAGCTGTTGATTTGTCCAGTACTGCACCAATATCATATTTTGTAGAAGGCATGGCCCTTTGTTAAACCCTCATGTCTCGCACAACAGTTGTCCTCCCGTATTCATTTTAGTCATCATGAGACCTCGTAGCACTTCAAATATTGAGAACGACAACTGATAGTATTTGAAAGGTCATGGCGATGTGGTGGTTGCTACCGCGGTGTTATGCTGTGACCAATCCAAATCACGATGACGTCAATCTCCATAATTATGAACTGATCTTCTCGTCCGCAGATACAGCAACTGAAAAGCACTATTGATCAGGTAGATTGTTGGGAAATAACAGAACTATCTCAAATGCCTAACAAAGCTTGCCACACCATGGACTCCCTTCCGGTAGCCAACAAGACAGCCGGCGAGCCAGAGAGCTTGATGAACAAAACGTTGGAGACAGGCGCCGCTGCTGTTCAGGTAATGATATTCCATCGTTTGTTTTTCCTGACCGCTGAACGGGATAGAACTTCGATCCTGTGCAGAGAATCTGCGCACACCTTAATGCTTTCCACGCATACGCACACGACCCCACGCGCGACGCTGTCGAGGCCAACCACTACTGCGCACATCTCAATGACGATGTAAGACAGTGTATCTTGTACGACTCGCCTGTGCAGCCAGCACGCATAATCGGTATTGGTAGGTTCTCCGCCATTGACCGTCCTCCTGTGCATCATTTCCTTGCTAATCTGCCGACTAGAGTATATGATCAAGCCGCATCTGTACGAGTCCTTGGACGAGGAGGAGCAGAAGCTGTGGCACTCGCACGTGTTTGAAGTCAAATCCGGAATGTTGATCATGCCCAAGCCCAGAGCTGTTCCAGAAGTAGCGTGGGAGCTTGCTGAGAACAAGGAGATGGAGGAAGTAGTCCACCTCTACGGAAAGATCTACCATCTCTGGCAGACTGATCGAGGCGACAAGCTGCCTCTTGGCCCACCGCAACTAATGACCAGCTACACGTCGGCTGATCAGATGCCGAACTTCGACAAGGTGATGGAGGATCGAGACAAGCGCTTTGGAACGGACCACACGCGCAAGAAGAAGGTGCGCGAGTATATCCAGGTTCCGGATATCCACAGGAATGCAGACGCTACGTGGGCAAAGGGTGGCCTTGGGCATAGCGGCGAGAAGCAGTCGTAGATAGCACTGCCTCCATAGTTGATATGACCATGACTGACAGCCTCATGAGCCCTGCTTGTCGCTGACTTCCTGAATAGCGGCGGCATCCTTCTTCTTCTCCTGGCCCATGAGTTTGCCCAGTACATCCTTCTCATTTACTGTGTCTTCGTCATCGCTCATCTCGGTATCGCTGCCGCTTGTAGAGCTGTCCTCGCCGTCTTTCATCTTGAGCACACCGAGGCCGAGGTTCTGCTACTTCTTAGTCTGAAAAACCCCCTTACTGGCAATGAAATTCTCACCATCTCGATATACTGCTCATCGTCCTCTCCGTCCACAGCGTCGATTTCGCGCTTCTTGAGGGTGCCCTGCTTGCGCTCGGCCTCGAGCTCTTCGTTTGCGGCCTTCAGCTGCGGTAGAAAATCTTTGAGAAAAGTCCTGATATCTGGACCCAGACCCTCTTCGTCCAGCTTGTACGTAGGCTTCTGCCCTCTGTTTGCCCTCAGATTCACGACCTCTGGCTCTTCAGGTGTTTCGGCGTCCATCTTAGTGGTCTCGTCAATGTCATCGTCGTCCTCGCTGGAGCTCAAGTCGCTGGGCTCTTCGCTCGACTCGGACAGCTCGCTGCTCTCGTCGCCGGAGTTGAGCTCGCTGGCATCGGTAGATTCAGCGGGCGCACTCGAAGCTTTGACAGTGGAGTCTGGCTTGCTGGACACAGAGCCTCCAGAGCTGTTCTCGGGAGAAACTTTTGTGCGCTTGCGCCGGTGGGCGAGTGGAGCAGCAGGGGATGGCATTGCAGTAGCGGGAAGCATACGAGTAGCACGGTGGTGCTGCGGAGTTGGTCGTTCCCGAATTGTCTCGGGCTTTGGTGGAAGAGAGACCGCAGGACTCGTCAAATTTGGGGGAAGCGGGCGAACTACGCCGCGGGGGTCTCAGGTGCGAGCCAGAGTTCGAACTCGAATGCAACCCACGACGTCACATGCGAAGAGCCTTCGCCAGCACGCGGCCAGCAGCGCTCATCAATCGCAGCCAGCATCTCCAGCATTTGGCCGTTACGGCCCAAGATGGTTGACAGGGCCAATGGGCGGCCCGCAGCTGTCGTGGTCCCCGCCAAGCGCGACGCCACGGTTGGCGGTTGGCCTGCGCCATTTGGCGGGCCTCTGGCGTGGCCTCTTGTCTGCCTCTTCTTGGTGTCAAGCAGGGGGTCGTGAAACGGCGCGCTGAAACGCCAGAACAGGCGGCTGCAGCTACCACTGCTGACTTGTTCGATCGTCCGTTTCCTTTAATGAGAGCAGCTGGCCAAGTCTCACCACACCTCACCTCACCTCTTCATTGACGTGCTGCCATCTTCTTCCTCTATCCCTCGAGTGTCCTGTGCTACTTCGACCTTCCGCGGGGTAACGAAACAAGGCCGTCATATACACCCGCCACGAGATACCTTCGGGGCTTTGACTCGGTATGTACAAACTTGATTGCAAGTGTCTGTTATTTCCCATCTTGCAAGGTCTCTGTGTTTGGTTTTATTGTCCAGGCTCGAGGTATGAACATCGTTCTGCTCGTCTGGTCCCTGCACCGTCGCCTGATATCAGGTCTTGGCATCCACGACAATGGCCATTTCAAAGAGTCATAAATACCAGGACAGAGGACAACCTCGAAGTGCAACATGGGCTGCTTTTAAGATGCGGTTTGGTCCGTCACGATCAGGCGCAGCGACTCTTCACCGGCCCTGCCGATTGCTGGCATTCACCTTCACCACGGTCACACCCAGCCTCCTGTAGAACCGCAGACAATAGCACTTCTCGCTATCGTGAAAGCTGCTACTGTCGACGACGGATACTTTGGAGGCTGGGGTGTTCGAACACCTTACCCTGCGCTCATCTTTCGCTGCTGAATGTTTCCCATCAACTCGCTCTGCTTCTTCCATTGCGTCACCATTTCAACCCAATATGTTCTCTCTACCTGCGCATCCCTCGCAATGGATGAAGCTGCTCGTCTGATCGGCATGCTCAGAGCTTCTGCAGGCCAGAACGCTAACATTGACAAGCTTGACAAGCCTCTCCACGTCGACTCCAACACGCAAGCCTAAGGCAGAACCTAAGGGCACACGGCACGTCCTCGGTCTTCTCAGGTCTTCAGTTATCAGCCACATCGCGGCTCCTCGAGCTCCACTCACTAAAAGCACAAGTGACATCAACAACGATCTCGCCGTCGCCAACCGCAAACGCATCTTCGCTGCTCAAGCGGACGTCAAGAATCTCCACACCATCGCCTTCAACTTCCAAACTTCACCTCCCACTCCCACAATGGCCGGCCGTTTCCCGGTGCTCAGCACCTCCAGCCTGCCCCCGGCATCAGCTTCAGAGCAGTCTGCCACAGCATCGCCCGCCCGGGGGACTGCCATGCTGAACTCGATCTTCAAGTCTGTCCGTGTGCCCGAGTTCCGCTTCCGTTGGCTGTTCTGGGCGGAGAAGGGACAGCAGAGCGGCCCAAAGGACAGAACACCACAGTCAGAGGACTACGCATCACGACCAAAGCCGCTCGGCGAGCAGATCATCAGCATCAAGGAGTTCTACCAGCACTTCAACAACATCCCAGTCGAGAGCCTGAAGCTACGAGACTCGATCCATCTGTTCCACATGGGCATCAAGCCGGTGTGGGAAGACCCACGCAACGAGCGGGGTGGCGCCTGGTATTTCAAGGTTAGCAAGGATGTCGCGCCCCAGTTCTGGCACGAACTCTGCTTGCTCGCAGTCGGCGACGTCTTGCAGGGTGCTGTGGAGACTAAGCGTGCCTGTAAGTGAACCGCGAGATGCAGTTTGGTGTTTACTGACGTGCCGTAGCATTTAACGACGACATCTGCGGCCTGTCGTACTCGGTCCGCTGGAACGCGGTGCAGATTGCTGTCTGGAACCGTGATGCAGATAACGAAGCGGGACGGGACAAGCTCCTGAAGGCTATCCTCGAGAAGATCTCGCCGGAACTCCAGCCCAAGAAGGAGGAAAGCTACTGGTACAAGGCGCACAACGAGCATAAGGGGTTCATTGCGCAGGAGACTGCGGCGTAGGCTGTCGAGACTTGAGCGATGCGCGCCTACGTGCTCTGTCTTGAGGCAGCTCAGCATTCTTTTTGAGCATGGCTTGCGACCACATAGGCTCATACACTAGCGGGCAGAACAATGCATACCCAGCTCAGATACACATTTGTCACATCTTGATGTTTGAGTGTGATGGTGGGCGGCGAATGAGGTCCGTGCTTTCTATGACAGCTCCTCACTTTCCCGCGCGAACATCAACGCCATCGCTTCGCCGCAGCGCAGAACACGCCCATCCGCCCGCACACAGCGCCATGGCCTCCCTTCCGAGCTCGATATTCCGCTGGGTCGTCCCCGGCGCGGTCGCCTTCTCCTTCGCGCAGTCGTCCATCTACGATGTTAAGGGTGGCACACGCGCCGTCATCTTCGACCGCCTGTCCGGAGTGAAGGAGCAGGTCGTCAACGAGGGTACACACTTCCTGGTCCCCTGGCTGCAGCGCGCCATCGTCTTCGATGTCCGCACGCGGCCGAGGAACATCAGCACCACCACCGGATCCAAGGACATGCAGATGGTCACCCTGACGCTGAGGGTGCTGCACCGCCCGGAGGTCAAGCAGCTGCCGAAGATCTACCAGGTGCGGCAACTATCCAGAACAACCAGAACTGCGCTGACGTAATGCAGAACCTCGGCCTCGACTATGACGAGCGCGTCCTGCCCTCCATTGGTAACGAAGTGCTCAAGTCCATCGTTGCGCAGTTCGACGCCGCCGAGCTCATCACCCAGCGCGAGGCTGTTTCCAACAAGATCCGCGCCGATCTGCTCAAGCGCGCCAACGAGTTCAACATCGCCCTCGAGGACGTTTCCATCACACACATGACCTTCGGCAAGGAGTTCACCAAGGCCGTCGAGGAGAAGCAGATTGCCCAGCAGGAAGCGGAGCGCGCGCGATTCGTTGTCGAGAAGGCCGAGCAGGAGAGACAGGCCAACGTCATTCGGGCCGAGGGTGAAGCCGAGGCTGCCGACACCATTTCCAAGGCTGTGGCGAAGAGCGGCGACGGTCTGATCATGATCCGAAGAATCGAGACCCAGAAGGACATTGCACAGATGCTGGCCAGGAATCCCAACGTCTCGTACTTGCCCGGTGGCGGTACGGGGTCTGACGGCGGCAAGTCCGGCGGCAGCTTCCTGCTCGGTCTGAGAGGATAGATGTATCGATGGACAGGGCGAGTGTAGAAGATGAACCTTGCACGACGCATGGTCAGCCATCCGATTTGAGAGCGCTGATGCTGTACTATATCGACTGTTCAAATCAACAGTACAACTTCTGTAGCGTAAAGACTAGTCTCCTCTTTGATTTGACTTATTCCGTCGATTGTTCAATCCCAATGGAATGAGACAGTAGATTGTGGAATTGGGCTGATGATACTCTAGGATACAATCCTCTCTATCCTCGACGGGAGTACACAACGAACAGTGGATTTGAGAAAAGTGTTAGGTCCAATGTCGCCGGAAAACCCGGTGACAGCACATACATCATCTTACAGTCTCGAGTCGTTTGCAGGTTGCCAGATGTCTGCGAATAAAGACTTTCCTCCACGTCTTCAGTCTTCATGCGATTTCAGAGCTACCACACTAACACGACTTGATATGCTACGACATGCGTAAAGAATCTAGGTCCCATTTCAACGAGCATCACCAAAGACCACACACGTCCTCACTATATCCAGCTACAATCTTGAGCTAACGTACTCAACGTTCAAAAACCGGCATCATCGTCCGCTCCCGCGGACATCGCTGCCTCATACCAAACAGGATCCCCTCGGTCCACTTACCAACAACAAGCGGATCCCTCGTTCCCAAACACATCCCCCCCAAGCAGCGCCGTGAGACACTGTCTGATTCGCTAACGCTCTGCTGCATGAGCAATCCTGAATCGGGAAATTGTCGCTGTATTTGAGATGCATGTGAAAGGGAGGATTATAGCGTTGGTTCCACTGCATTGCGCTCTGGAGTTGGATATTTGGCATGAAGAAGCATCTGTTTCAAAAAAAGAGATAACTTATCATGTAGATAATCGTAGACAGGAAACCGAAAGAAAAATTACGAGACTATCAACAGGCAATGGGCTGTCAATGTCCGGCAAATGACATTGACAGCTCTCCACAATTCAACAGCATCACCCTGCGCATACAACACACGTCTCGTCTCCGCTTCCCTAGTCATCTGTTGTCAAGCAGCCTTGGCGTCCGAAGTGTCTGTTTCGGTGCTGTGATGGGCCGATTGCAACTCGAAACAGCACTCAAGCATTTGCTGCCGCGAACAAGCTTCTGAGAATGATAATCCTCGCTGCTGCCCCGTTCCAGCACTTAGGAACCGAGGATGCCTTAGTGTTCGGGACGCGTTTGAGGCATGCGTGAGGCTGCATTATGCATGAAGCAGATGGGGCGTGAGGGAACCAAAGCGGAGAGTCTGACTTTTGGAGGGTATTGTGCGTCCGCGATCCGAGGACGAGCTGTATTGACACTGGAGGTCGAGATTGACGCTGATGAAGTCTGGTGCTGTCCTATGTCGCTCAGAGAATATGGGATGCTCCGCTGTTACTGTGTAGGAGAGCATCATCAGCATGCACTCATCGATAATACCATCAGTACAGCTGGAAAGGTTCGAATCTGCGCGCTCTTACTATCAAATGCGAACTTGGGCAGTGTGTCTGTGCATTATATTGGCTTGAGCGCGGGGGTTTTCAGCCTTGTTACAGCGAAGCAGTTACAAGGTACTCGCCTGCCATGGACCACAATCGTGGCAATAATAAAGTGACAAAAGTTTGTAAACAAACCCACGACTGTCCAATGTGTCGTTAGGGATCCACAGGCATATCTGGAATCATGCGGGCTGCGAGACGTCAGTGCAAGAACTGTGTTCCAGGCTGTTTCGGGTCGCCGAGGCCGCAAGGTATCCGGGTAGGTATCCATGTGAAAATCAGCTCATCATGTTCGCGGGGTCGTAGATTTTCACGATCATTTCCGAGCGAAACTGCATAAACAACGGCACCGAATCTGGATGGGTATCTTCAAGGCAACGACTTTGGGTGATGGCGGTGAGACGGCCGTGTACAAGCCTACGATCAAGCAGAGTGCGCCTGGCAGAGCGCCGTGTGAGGTATCGGATACTGCGCCTCGGTCTCTGGAGGAATGATCGAATCCTTCGCCGGACGTCAACGACGATAGGGCGCGGGGAAGCGTTGAGTGAAGCCTGTTCTGAGTTGTGGTGGGGCGGCTGTGGCTGTGCTGACTGTAGCAACCAATCCAATCGCTCGTGGCACCCTAAATCTCGAAGCAGAACACCGGCTGTGCACATCACAGGCGCTCGCAGCCTTGCAACACCAGCATGTCGACGATGTATAGATATAGCCTTAGTAGCGAGGGGCGACAGCCTGCATTTGTCCGTTCGCTTTCGCATCTCTGGCGCCCAATACCTGCGTCACAATGGGGAACTGTACGCGTAACCAAGCGCAGCTCCTCCTCGCCTTCAAGGTGCTTCACTTTGTCCACCAACTGCGAAAACGCGTGAAGACACGTGTGCAAAGCGGCTTCGACGATGATCTACGACTTGGCAACTACCTCCAAGCTGACCGAAAGGCGTCGATGCGGATTCCAGGGTTGTCCCGACCTGGAGCCCGCGACGCAAAGCAGCCGCAGCACATCGGCAACCGCATTAGCAAGTGCCGCAAGAACAAGCCAAATTCGTTTAGACCAGTGCTCAGGCTACTCACACCGGGTTCGGATGCGTCCGTGTACTCAAACGAATCTGGCGAGGAGGTGCAACAGTACGTCCAGAGAAGCGTCCGTTTGGTTTCATGCATGCTTAGTTCTGCGAACAGCAACCCCAGCAATGTCGAAGAAGCTCTGACGGCGATCGCGAGCGACAACAAGCTCTTTCTCAACCATGCTAGTTCGCCGATCCTCCAACGCTGTTCCCTGTATGAGATCAACTGGGTACTGCTTTCGACATTTTCAGCTCTGCAGACGCTGTCGGAGTGCCGGTCACAATTCGGTGATAACTGGCTTGCGGCACAAGGCCAACTGATCGGGCTCGATGTAGACGGGACGTTTGTTGCAAATCTTGAGCATTTGCTGCTGTGGCTTCAGGCAAAACTCGAAAATGCATTGGTGCGCAAAGTGCGCGCCGAGCTGCTGCACCCTATGGGCGGGTACAGCAAGAATCAACGAAAGCTTCTGGCCTGTCTCGATGGGTTTGCGGAGAAGCCGCAACCACTCAGCATGTCTTTTCCCTGGACCATCAAGCCTTCACTGGCTGTGTTGTGGGGTGTATGTTCATGTTTCCTCGCTAGAGATGGAACGCTTGCTGACTTGAGGCCGTTAGGTCTGCTGGATGTTTTATGATCGTGCTGGCAATGCGCCTGCGGATCTAGAAGGTACCAATGATCGCGTTCCAGTCACTCGTGTGCTTCAACACGTTGGTGTCCCATGGACCGCTCCAGGATCGTCTGAGTGTAGGTTTCGCATGTTGCGTTCAACTTCACGAGGGTGTTTCAGTCGCTAAACTAGTCAGACCTCAACTTCGGCCTTGAAATGATTGGCCTGCAGCCGCAACCTGGGACGCAACTGCAAACGGGCGACAACATGCCTGTGGGGCCTGAGAGTGATGTGTTCAAAGCAGCACGAAACTCGGATACCTGGCAATCCGATTGGCATCATTTGAATTCTAGGCATCCGAGCCTTACAGTCTCGAGCCTGTCGCCGATTGGTCCGGGCAGCACAGCCCAGTTTCCCGGTAAGGATTAGCCTACCCTTTGAGTCAACTGAGCGGCCACCACGAACTGGGTTTCAAACCAGGCAGGCGATCGTTAGCTAACGTTGGGCAAGGTACTTATTATCCGGCTGCCCCTACACAGTACCCCATATATCCCGACAATAGCTATCTGCCCCAGAATACAGGCGCTACCACGATTACGGCCTTTTCGCAGCTTAGCCCCAGTCTTGACCAATCCTCTTGGCAGCTTCCGTACTCTTCTTCGCCACTGCCACAACACAGTCCGCGTCATCTGATAAACGCTCCACAGGCACCAAGCATCATAGTCACCGGGACAGCGGGAACAGGTAGTGAGGTCTTTGCTCCGCCACAATCGGATTTCGCGGCCTTGTCGGATTATATATTCAACGCCTCAGGCCCGCCACACAGCCAACATCCGAACCTCTACCTCTACAACGCCATGGGAAACACCTTGCCACCAGTGAATTCCGGATCCGCAATACAATTACCGCAGATCCACCACAAGCACGAACGTTCCCTTTCTAGCACCTCGAACACTGATATGCCCACTCCGGTCAGCATAGCAGGAAACGATCTCCCCTCACCCGTGGGCGAGCAGCACAGAACGACCATGTCGAGCCCTAACACCCACACAAGACAATACTCTGAGGACATATCTTCCCAAGATGAGCATGACGGGTCGCTGCGGAAGAACCACTCGTACAAGCGTGCTGAAGAGCCACCGCGCAACAATGAGGCAAAGATGATCTGCAAACGTTCAGAGTGCTCCGGCATCACTTTCGACCGCAAATGCGAATGGAGGTATGTCGAACTCATCACACGTTTCAAGGCCACACAACTGATCATTCTCGCAGCAAACACATGGACAAACACGACCGTCCCTACAAGTGTGGCGTCAAGGGATGTGAGAAGCTGCAAGGCTTCACTTACAGCGGTGGTCTTCTGCGTCACGAACGCGAAGTGCACAAGATGCACGGCGGCACCAAGAAGTCCCTCTTCTGCCCGTTTGCAGATTGCAAGCGCAGCTCTGGCGCCGGCTTTACGCGGAAGGAGAACCTCGCGGAGCACATCCGTCGCGTACACCGTAGGACAAGCATGTCGGCGGACATGCATGGCCTGGTGATCCGCCGTGACACCCTGGAGCTCTCACCAACCATTGAGAGCCGACAGGCGTCGGAGTCGCCTTACGTCCGCAACATGGAGTACCGCGACAGCGAGGAGCCTTCGCTTAAGCGGAAACGGATGTTTGACTCTGTGCTTTCTGATCGCGCTGACGAGGACCTTCGTGCTGAGATCAAGCGCCTGCGACACGAAAACGAAGAGAAAGACGCGCGGTTGCGACAGCTCGAGCAGGCTGTCATGGCGCTGCAGCAGAGTCGCAGAAGCTAGTCACTTTCGCCGTTCAACACCGCGGAAGGGATCTGCACGAGTCGAGGTAATTCTTACTTGACTCATTGTTTAATGCATCACGGGTGCGGGAGTACGGACAATGGCATTGGGCGGGATGGACATCTCAAAGCATAGCACGGTTTGGCGTTTAGACTCGGATCACGACTTATTTTCCCCTCTGGCAGGATTTCGCTCGTTGTACATAGTATTGAGCGTCTTGTTGGTGATGAAGCGACAGTTTTAGTTATTGCGGCATGGCTGGAACATGCGCTCACGAGAGACGACAGAATACGTGACGACTCTGCTCACTCAGATTGGAGAGAAGATGCTAGACCAGACGAAGATGTAATTATAGTATTCGTAATTCGAGAACCGTTATAGAAACGACTTGACTCTGCTCACTCAGACTGAGGTCAAGACATGAAGTCGCGATTACCTTTCAGCCCCCACTGGGCACTGGGCACGGCGCCCTTTGTGCCTGAGGTTCGGTGGCTGCCTAATCCCGGGCTATGGTCACGATGCACACCACTTTTTCCGTCGGAGTCGTCTGCATTCAGGCCGCTGCTTCTAGTGCAGACGAAGAGTCATACGCGTTCACGGCTCTCGCTTTAGCGGTGTCGCCGAGCTGTGGCGAAGCTGACGCTGATGCAGGTGCAGGTGCAGGTGCTGGTGCTGATGCAGGTGCTGGTGTTGATGTTGATGCAGGTGTTGATGCTGATGCAGGTGTTGATGCTGATGCAGGTGCTGGTGCTGATGCAGGTGCTGGTGCTGGTGCTGATGCAGGTGCTGGTGCTGATGCAGGTGTTGATGCTGATGCAGGTGTTGATGTTGATTGGTAAGACGTACTCATGTGACAGCGCGTTAGCGTGACGGGACGTGGTACGGTGCAGGCGCGTTGCAGCCTTGTGTGCCGTGTTGAGGGCGCGTTGGGCAATGTCAACAAGGAAGCCTGGTTTGCCAGACGGGGGTTGGTTTCGTTGCGCAACGACTGCCAAGGCGTGGGTGCGTGTGTCGTCGCCCCACGGTACGGCAAGACAACTAGGTATCGTGCTTGGTGTGTGTGGTGCGAGGACCGCGACGTGTGCAGTGCAAGTCGGAGAAGGGTCGAGGCTGCAGGTTGTTGTTGGCGTGTTCCGCAGGAAGAGGACGGGGTCCTTCCTTTTACGGAGACGTGGCTGATTGAGACGTGAAGATGGGAGTCAAGGGAAGAGATGGACATTGCATGAATTCGGCTCTTAAATGGGGTTATGAATTCGGCTCTTAGATGGGGGTATGAATTCGGCTCTTAAATGGGGTTATGAATTGGGTATATAGCGGCCTTTGTACAAGTATGATGCAGGGTGCAGAAAGAAGTGATGGTTTGACAGAGTCGACGAGGAAGTAGCTTACGCTGCTCAAGGCTTTGGTGGCTGCTGTGGCTAGACCTGCAGCTGTGCCTCGTGTGTTTTCTTCGCTGCTTCGTGTGTTTTCTTCGCTGCTTTGTGTGTTTTCTTCGCTGCCTCGTGTGTTTTCTTCGCTGCCTCGTATGCCTTCTTCGCTGCCTACTGTGCCTTCTTCGCTGCCTCCTGTGTTTTCTTCGCTGCCTCGTGTGCTTTCAGCGCCTCCTCCTTTGCCTGGCGCCGGAACCCCTCGATCCGGTCGTCAATGAGGGCAATCTCGACCTCAATCTTCAGCAGCTGCTCCTGCAGGATGGCGTCGTAGCGCTCGTCGGTCAGGGCTTCCATGGGACTCCACTTCATCTCGGCGATGCGCTCCATGAAGTTCTTCTTCTTCTCTCCGCGGGCCGCGAGCCGGGCTTCCTCCTGGAGCTCCTCGGTGTTCTTCTCGTCGAGGAAGTTGTAGCCCTTCTGGCCAGCATAGCCGAAGAGGCCGAACATGAAGGTCCCCGGGACGGCATTGCGCGGCCCTCGAAAGAGCAGGCCAAGGCTGAGACCCGTGAAGGCGCCGGCCATGGTCGATGCGCGCACCCGCTGCGAGCGAGTTGGGTGCAGGTCCTGGCGAGCGTGCAGGGGCTGTCCGCGGGTCGACCTCCACCAGTTCAGGACGCCGTCGTGGCTGAGAATGGCGCTGCGCGCAGTCCAGAAAGTGCTGCCGAGCGCGAAGCACTGCATGCCCGAGGCGACTGCAAACAGGATGGGCGTCTGCGTGCGCAGGGTCCCGGACAAGGCGCCAATGGCCGTGCCGGGGACAGCGGCCAGGGCACCGACGCCCGCAGCCTGCCTGAGGACATGGAGCGGATGGGTGAGCTGGGCGGAAGCATGGGCGTCGCCGTCGCCGTGGCTGTCGCCGTGGCTATCGCCGTGGGCGTGGGCGTCCGGCTGCTCCATGGCGCGCGGGGCCGTGGGTGGTGTGCTTCGCGGCGCGGGCGAGGCGGTGATGTCAACAGTACGGTAGTCAAGCCAGCACAAGCACAGACGGCTAAAATTGCACGCCGCACTTGCGGGTGGATCGACCTCGACGGCCGCGCGCCCAACAACCGACCCTCGACCACACACGACGAACGAACGACCCCCGAGAGCCGCCCCCGCTCTCATACACACTCGCACAGCGCGCGGATACTCGCTGCGCGTCGACGGCACACGGCAATCATGGGTACGGCGCCCCCCGCGCCCACAGGCCGCGGGCGGTGCGGCGGCGGCGCTGCCCCGCGCCGGGCGGCTTCAAAATGCACGACTGCTGGCTGACACGATGCGCAGCGCCCAAGAATAAAAAGGCGGAGAAGATGTCGCTGAGCAACTTCCTCGGCGACCAGTGTAGGCGCTCCCCCGCAGGGCAACGCCGAGTGCGCAGACGGCTGACGGCAGTGTAGCGCTGGGCTCGTGGGCCGACGAGATGGAGGACGCGCCCATGCCCCGAGGCGGCGGCGGCTTTGGCGGCGCCAGCAGCTACGGCGGCGGCGGCGACAGGCCCTCGTACGGCGGCGGCAGCGGCTTTGGCGCCCGCACCGACAGCTTTGGTACGTCGCCCGGCACACGGTGACCGCTGAGAGTGCCCACGGTGACCGCTGAGAGTGCCTGCGGTGACCGCTGAGAGTGCCTGCGGTGACCGCTGAGAGTGCCTACGGTGACCGCTAAGAGTGCACATGGTGACCGCTGAGAGTGCCCACGCTGACACGCCCCCCAGCCGAGCGCGGCTTTGCGACCCGCGAGGAGCTGCCCATGCCCTCCAAGCCCCCGTACACGGCCCATCTGGGCAACCTCTCGTTCGACGCCACCGAGGGCGACGTCTCGGACTTTTTCGCCGCCTGCGAAGTCACCAACGTGCGCATTGTCGAGGACAAGCTCGACCGCAAGCCCAAGGGCTTCGGCTACGTCGAGTTTGGCTCCGTCGACGGCCTGAAAAAGGCCCTCGACCTGTCCGGCACCCAGTTCCAGGGCCGCAACATACGCGTCAGCGTCGCCGAGCCCCGTGCGTATTCTGTTCCCGCGTGCTGACCAGACACCCGCTGACCGTCCGCAGCCAAGGACCGCCCCGAGGCCCGCGACATCTCCGACTGGTCCCGCAAGGGCCCGCTCCCTGACCTGCCCGGCGCCCGCTCTGGCTCTGGACGCGGGTACGGCAGCCGTGGCTTCGACGCCGGCGCCTCGGACGCCGGCAGCGACCGTGGCGGCGAGCGCAGACGGCCCGCCTTTGAGAGCGACGGCAAGCAGCGCGACTTTGGCAACTGGGAGCGCCGGGGCCCGCTCTCGCCCGCGGCCGACGCGCCCAGGGAAGGCGCCAGGCGCTTCGACGGCCCCCGCGAGAGGCAGTCCCCGGCGTGGGGCGAGGGCCGCCCCGAGGGTGAGCGTGCGCCCCGCCGTGAGTTCCAGCCGGCCGAGGGCCGGCCGCAGTTTGAGAGGCAGCCCACTGCCGCAGACCAGGACAGCCAGTGGCGCTCCAAGATGCGCACCGATGTCGCCTCCCCCACCGGCACCCCGGACGCCAGCACCCCCTCTTCGCCGGCCCCGCTTGCCAGCCGTCCCAAGCTGAACCTCGCCAAGCGCACAGTCTCGGAGGCGCCGGCTGCCACGCCCTCCAACGCCTCGGACAAGCCGAACCCCTTTGGCGCCGCCCGCCCCATTGACACAGCCGCCCGCGAGAGGGAGGTCGAGGAGAAGCAGAAGCAGGCTGCGCAGACCAAAAAGGACGCCGACGACAAGGCCCGCGAGGAGAAGAAGGCCAAGGACGTTGCCGCCAAGGAGTCTGCCTCCAAGGCCGACGAGGCCAAGGGTGATGACGTCCCCCAGGCTGTCGAGAACCCCGAGGCCGAGGCCACAGACGAGGGCGCCAACGGCGACGTGGTCGACGACAAGGCCGTCAAGCCCGAGGAGCCCGTTGTAGCTCCCAAGGACGGAGGATCCTGGAGGCGCAAGTCCAGCACGTCCCCTGCCGCCGCTGCTGCCCCCGCCGCCGCGGCTGCCCCTGCTGCCGCGGCTGCCCCCGCTGACACAACCGAGACCATGGAAGACGACGGCTGGAGCACCGTCACCAAGGCCCCCAAGAGCACTCGCAACAACCGTCGCGGCGGTGCTCCTGCCCGTGCCATTGCCTCGTAAGCCGTCTTCGACGGTGGTGCATCGGCGATAGTCTCTTTTTGCGTTGCAGGAAAATAGCAATGTCGCGCACATGACCGGCGTGGCCGAGTCACTCTCACGGTTTTGACATCTGTCCCTTCTGAGCAGCTGTGTCTTGTTGGCTGTCTCTCGAGCGTACGACTGCGTGCACGGCGTTGGTCCTCCTGCTTCAACCCATGGCTTTCCAGCTGCACCTTCGCCGGTCCATGTCGCTCACGATACCCGAGCATGCCCGTCACCCTGTCTCCTTTTCGTTATCCAAAAGTTACCGTTCCCATCGCAGCATCTTGTTCGCCCATCTAGGCTCGAAATCTTGGACCTGCCATCTTTTCGAATGCCTTTTCCAAACACCCCAAACGGGATGCGTCCCAATCCGCCTACGACGTCCATGTCGTGATGATAATGTACCTTTCCATAGACGACACGAGTGCTTGGGCATGTATTTATTGCAGGGTAGATTGATGATTGAGTTCTCCACTTCAAACTGCGTCTTGGCTTGTCTGACAGCGTGTGCTAACCGCCTGATTTCAGGTGCTCTCCCAACGTTGATCATCGCCGTTGACGTTGATCATCGCCGTTGACGTTGATCCACTCCCGCTCGGTGGCTGACAGGGCCCCCCTGTTCAGCCGCCCCTCATACGTCAGTCTGTCCAACCTCGAGACCTTGCTTTGGCATCCAGCACACGCTTTCGCAGTCCTAACGTGTCTCAGTGGCCTGCGCGTCTTCACATTGCACCACTCCTCGTTTTGTTCATCAGAGGCCCCATTCACGATTCTGCACCTTAGCAATCAATCCGCGAGATTGTTCAGAGCATTCCTGACAATCAGAGGCAAGATTGACAATGTCGACAAGGCCTCAAGCCCCCGGGCCAAACTCCACCACAGCAGCACAATCAAAGCAACCTCGCTCCCGCAAAGCAGCAAACCCAGAGCCATCCACCGCTGGCCGGGCAGGCTCAGCGGGCGGTGTCATGCTTCCGAAAGAGGCAGTCAAGAAATCATCGGCCTCTAAAGCCGTCCCGACTCCAGCCAAAGACACAACCACGCAAGACGCGCCCAAGAAGAAGCCCAGGAAACTCAACAAAGACCCTACGTCCGCATCTTCAATCACACCCGCCACGAAACGCGGCGTCTCGACTGGAGCAGCCGAGCTCGAAGCACTGAAAGCGCGCGTCCGCGGCCTGGAAGCCAAAGTCGAGGAACTCTACAAGACCGCGCCTCCAACAGCGACACCGCGCTCGCCACGGCGCCGAGGCAAAGGACGGAAGAACTCGAGTGCAACCACGACGGCGACGCTCGGTACCTTGTCGCAGAAGAAGGAACAGCAGGAACACGTCCAGGAGGAGGACGAGGAAGCAGACGAAGAGCTCGGCAGGCTCGAAGACGAACTCGAGACCGCACGCCAAGACCTCGCCCTATACAACCCCACATCACGGCCGCGAGCAAGGCCAACCGCATCCGACGACACGGACCATGTGGAGGAGATACCCAGAGAAAAACCGGGAGTCGGTGCCGGCAGCGACAGGCAGGTGACCCTCAGCGGCTCCTACCGCATCCCGCTCCCCGCAACCCTCAACCCAGAAGACGTCAAGACGATCCAGTCCGGCGTGTCGGCGGCCCAGAACGTCGCGCGCTCCTTCCTCGACCAGCGTCGCGCAAACCAAGCACTCCGCACCGCCCAGGCGGACGCCGGCCCCCCGCCACCGCCCACGCCCTCGGCTCCCAAAGCACGAAAAAACAAGGACAACGTCGAGCCAGAGCTGCACCTCAGCACCGATGCGGCGGGGAAGCAGAGCTGGGGCGAGTGGATCGGCGGGTACAGTGTAGCGATCAGCCGGGCGGTGAAGAGCATCGAGCACGAAGCGGCGATGGAGGCGCAGAGTCAGGACGCGCGGCCGGCGTCGGCTCGCGCGGGGAGCGGGACGGCGAGGAAGAAGAGACCGGGTGCCAAGACGGCATTGAGTGGTGAGCAGGTGGAGGGGTTGATGAGCTGACTGGTGGTCATGCATACCAGATGGCGTTTGGAATACATATTCGAATGCGGACTAGGAATCACGTGGTGTTGAATATTGCGTCTCGCGTTGTACATGCTGAAAACTGTCCGTTCCAGTGTCACTTGAAGAGGTCCCGTTTTGCAAGTCAGAAGTTACTGCCTGTACTCTGCTTATACAGGCGCTGCCGTAGGCAAACCCGGCACACTCCAGTCTCACTCAACTTCTTCGGAGACTTATATTTGAGACACTGCGCACTTCTTTCGGTATGCGAGGCAAAAGCCGGACAGTCGTCTCTTCTCCACCGACGACCATGCGTTTCTTCAGTCGATTCGTGCATGTGTACGCTACAGACATCATGGAGGCCAGGAAGGGTCACCATACGCGCGGAACGGGTGGAGTTGTCACATTCTACACGCTGACTCCAGCGACGCTCGTGTTTCTTTGTGCAGTAACCACTATCGCCATATCGTCCCCCAAGTTCTTGAGCGGCGCAGTCCTCCTTCTCCTTCGTCACAGCCAGCGTAAACAATATCCAAACTCTGCAGTCCAGGAGCGCGCAACATCTCCATCGACATTTTCAACGACCACCGCCTCTGCTCATACCCTAGATAGTGCACCTTGATCTGGTCTCAACCCATCTCCGAAACACCACACCGACCCCACCGCCTCTGAAGCAGCACAGCATCTTCAGCTGAAGGCTGTTCGCCACAGTGCGCATGCCTCCCACACCTCCCGCCTTCGTGGGCGACGGTCTGTATCGACTCCAGGTGTCCATTGCACATATCCCGCTGGCGGCTGTGGAAGTACTTGCAGCGCACGATGCTTTTGGGGACGAAGGTCTTGACACAGCCGCAGTTGGTGTAGCGCTTTGCGCTGATGCCGCACATGGTGGCTGCGTCTAGTGCTCTGGCTCGGGTCACTGTGTATCTCCGGACTAAAAGGGCTCGCTAATGGGACTAGACTGGTAGTGTGAAGACGTGCGATGATGGAGTTTGAGAATCCGAGATAGACGGGGTTGAAATATTGCAGCCCTCAGACAGTTCCCTGCTGCGAGCAGAATGAGATGGGACAGCGGTGGAAAGGAGGCTTGAAGGTAGCGTTCCTACGCCTGTGAGGCAGGCGTTATATGAACACATACTGTGGCTGGAGCATTGAGTGTGGTGTCAAACAAACGACAACCACTGTGTGTGGCAGAGCTGGGAACCATGCTGCGATGACGACGTGCATGCAAAGACAGACAACGGCGGAACGACAAGCCCATTGATGTTTGATGTGATGATAAAGACTCGGACATTTCCTGTTCTTTGTGAAGCCTGATGGCCGAGATGGACAAGCCGGGAGAGACAAAGGGCGGAAATATCTCATGCGTGCCAACAATCGACGGCACTTGAGGCATTGTTTGTGCCAGCAGGCCTTGTGTGCGCCGCCTGAGGCCATGCGGTAGACTGCATACGGTAACATTGTTCCGAATTTGCAGAGGAAAGCAGTCTTGAGATGCATAAGAGAATGCATCGTGTGTATTTGGTGCTTTGGTTTAGAGGTTCAGGCGTGACGTTTGACGAGGTCAGCATTTCCATCGCGCAACCTCGTCATTCTCCAACCTCATCGCCGCAGATTGTCTCTACACGAGCCCTGCCCAGAAGGTACACGAAGACACCTATACATGCACACCATGTACAGATCTCAGGAACTGTCCCAACCGATCGACAATTCATCTTCGCGATGCAGCGGTAGAGAAAATGTGATCCGCCTTCAACAACAGCCGAAAGCTGGCTCGCCACGAGAGAGAAGGCCAGGATCCATCTTTCAAGTAGAGCCTCTTTGTTCGCGGTTGAAGGGACCATCTCGTCGTTCTCTGACGGTAGCATAAGGGTCGGCCTGTTCACTACGTGAAACTTGCGATCCATTGTCTCGTAGCCAAGGTCAGGATGGAATTAGTTCTCACTACTACTGCTACTGGTCGCTATCAGTACGAACAGTGCTCACGTCAATGCCAGACATACCCTCTAGGAGTGCCAGCGATGTATTGCTACCGGTGGTTTGAGGATTACCGGTAAGAACTCTTCCGGCACCGCGTTGGTCATGTTCCCACGAGTGGTCTGGTCCTTCGTGTAGTTGAGCGAGTGTTTGTAATCCTCAGGTGTCATCACCATAGTCGCTGTTAGCCGGTCGGAAGTACCATAGTGCCTTGCAATATGCACGCATCGATTGCGGGATCATCTTCTACGTATCGCATGTATTTTTGTTAGCCTGGTTCTCCAAGTTAGCAATGAATAGGCGCTTTGTGGCTCGAGTTGATCCTACCAGTTGAGGTTCCCATCATGACCATGTGCGTTTTGCCCAGCTTTCTCAAACACGTGACAAATGAACCAACATTCATTGCATCATTGTCGAGAGTCGAGTAACCCTGCTCAGCCTCATCCAGGGCTGTCAAGGCACTGCTGACCAGCCCATAGAAAAACGCACTGAGAGACTCCGGGTTGCCGCTTTCGTAGGCGCACGAGTCCGGTGTCTACGACAGAAACAGATGTAACTACGCCATACTAGTCGCAATATCAGACCAGCCTTGGCTGAGTGATCACTGAGCACTTAGTCTTCTCCAGGTCTTGAAGCGCACTCTTTTAAGCTAGTGATCTACAGCAGGTTAGGCGACAAATATTGAGCAGAAATCTTAGGTGGAAGGTTGCTGTTGCGGTGAGCACATGGGGGAGGACCCACACGAGCGTCCAGGGAAGCTACCCAATTACACGCGTCCCTATCTCTTTCACTACTGTACTCACTCATATCATCCGCGAACTCATAAGTGATTCAGTACCCAAGCTAACTCTGACCGGAAAATGCTTGCTGACGAATTGCCGCTGCAGCTCAACCGATCGATGTTCAAGGACCCACAAGATGTCCATGTGAGAAGCGTCCACCTCAGTGCAGATGGAGCAACCTGTACAACTGCTGTACAGTGATTCGTAAACTTCCACGCGTCTGCTTCGAGAAATGACGGTTTCAAGTGCGTTGATAGCGCAAACCGAAACGCGCAATGCTTCCATCAACAATTCTTACCTTGGCACACAGCTTGGAAGATCATGCCATATGGAACAAGCTTCTATCACACGCTGTCAAACGTGCTGTTCCCAGGCAGAAGGTAGACCTGTTAGACGTTGAGTGGGTTGTGTCTGGGATGATCCATGCACGTTCACAGATGCCGCTTCATCTGGGGTTTCGGCAGGACCACCCCACTCAGCGACTCCGTGCAACAACACATGCCTTAAGGCCGTACAAAGATCCTTGCGCTACTTCCATTCTGGCCTTAATAGAACTGACTTCATCGTATTTCTTCGCTTCATACCTCAACAGTCATTTACGTATAGTTTGAACTTTGTAATTCGGATCTGCTGGCAGACTTCCTCCTTCCTCCTACTAACAGGTTATTTCTATATTTTTCCTTACTCCAGGAACATGGGTCTAGGAGTGCTAGAAGATCGACAGATGGCGGCTCCTCCTGGAACTTCTACGCTTGGTGCATCAGCAGCAGAGGGTATGTCAGCTCAAAGCAAGCTTTTGAAGCCATCGCAGCTAACGGCGACTCTCTTAAAAGGAGACCCAGTAATCGACACTTCAGAACTCAAGCGAGATGGTGACATTGTCCTGCAGCCACAGCCCTCTGACAGCCCCAACGACCCTTTAAACTGGACTGCAGTGCGGAAAGAAGTCATCATGATCATCTTAGCTTTCAGCTCTGGTGTGACGACGTCTCTGGGGCCAATGGTGACTCCAGGTCTGCCTTTGGTAGCGCAGAAGTACAACGTCAGCGTCGGCATGGTGACGAGTCTCATCATTGGCTTTCTGGCATTCTGGATCGGATTTACCACCTTCTTTACTGCGGCCGGTGCGAACATCTGGGGAAAGCGTCCGTTCTTCATCATCTCCGCCATCATCCTGCTGGCGACAAACGTATGGGGCTACTTCTCCACCTCTTTCGTCTCTTTGGCTGTCATGCGAGTCATCCAGGGTATCGCCTCTGCACCACTTGAGACGCTTGTCACCTCCACCGTCTCGGACATGTACTATGTTCATCAGCGAGGTGTTCGCATCAGTATCTGGGGGTGTATGTTGGCCAGTGGGGTACTGCTTGGCCAGACGATCGCTGGCGCCATTATTCAGAACATCTCGTTCGAGGCCACCTTCGGTATTTCCGCATTGATCTTCATCCCCATTGTCCTCGCCATGTATTTCTTCGTCGTCGAGACAACGTACTACGGCACCCGTCCAAATTTGCAGATAGAGTTCGAGCCGGAAGAGAAGAGCTCAACTTGGTCAGAGTATGGCGAAGAGAAGGAGACATACCGCCGGCAACTTGCACTCTTCCGCGGTCGCCTTTCGGACGAGTCTTTCTGGCGCAATGTGTGGAAGCCTGTTCCACTCATCGCATATCCTGCCGTTCTCTTCAGCACCGTGGTATATGGCACATACTTTACTTGGCTCCTCACTATCTCCGTTCTGTCGGTGTCGATCTTCTCAGCGCCGCCCTACTCGCTTGGACCCGCACAAGTCGGACTCACCAACCTTCCACTGCTCGCTGTCGGACTCGTTAGCTCGCCGCTGTCAGGCTGGGCCGCCGACTTCATAGCCAAATTTATGGCGCGTCGAAACAAGGGTATCTTTGAGCCCGAGTTCCGCCTTGCGCTCATGATACCTGCGGTCATCTTCGCAACGATTGGATTTCTGGGCTTTGGTATCAGTGCTCAGCGCGGCGACTCGATCTACCAGCTCGTTGCTTTCATGTCCATTCACGCCTTCAGCGTGCCGTTTGCGAGCACGGCGAGTCTGACGTATGTCATTGACTGCCACCCCAAGGACGCGAATCAAGCCTTCGTCACCATCAATTTCACAAAGGCGGTGTTCACGTTTGTTGCAACCTCGTATGCAAATAGTGTCTTGGCGAGCATTGGACCAAGCAAGTTGTTTGTGGCAATCACAATGATCAATCTGGGTGTCTGTGCCTTGACTATACCGGCATACATTTTCGGAAAGAAGTTCAGGGGCTTGGTAGCAAGGAGTTCCTTTGGTCAGAAGCTGTCTGCTTTATGATTAGTCCGTTGTAAGAGTATCTTTTTCGCAGCAAGTAGGTGGGGCAGCAGTTGCTTCGTGGCCATTGCATGCCCAAGATGGTTCGCTGCGAACTGGATCTCGTAGCCGTAAGGACTCAGGACAGGTAGGTTGGCGATAACGCCGGTATCAAGAAGCAGGATGTCAGGTCAACCGTGCTTGGAACTTTCTTGGCGGCAGTGGCGACCAATCAGTGAGTGCGACGGGTGGGATTCTTCGATCAAATATCGGTTATAAGAGTTGCTGCGGCGGAATAAATGCGCCCTATGAAGTATACGTCCTTAGGTGAGTGGGCTGCGAACGCCTTTAATGTTCCTTCGCCTAGACCTGCAGTGCCTGACGAAGTCAGATTGAAATCGGTTGGATGGATGGATGATTGATGCTCACCTCCAGTGACAAAGATGATTTTGCCCACCAGGGACTGCATTTTCATAGCCCGATGAAAAGAGGAACGTTGTTTTCCGTTCTGGGAAGCCACGTTGGACGTTATTGTCAGATTTGCCGTTCCCATCCACCGCGTAGACCTCATCGCACGGGAACGAACAAGTCGACCCTATGTGGTGAGAGGGCACTGATTCCTTTGCAGTGCTGCATCTGCTTAAAGATCCTTCCAATCAAAACAGCTTTTACTGGCAGATACCGTATCTCCGTTCGAAATGTCCATTCTGGCACTTGTGGGGGGATAATCGGCACAACTGACAGCCGACGTGCATAGCGTACAGGCTGTTGCGCAGAGTGCAAAACCAGATTTCGATCCATGTATGGAGATGGCATCGACATGTGTTTGCATGTCTGCTGATTAGTAATGATCGCCCATTCATCTTGGGAGGTCCTTGGGCCCGCTCTCGTCGAGGCCCAGCCGCTACCGGGCGATCTGAGGCAGAGATCGAGTGCAGCCATAGCAGATGTTCTTGCCAATTGCTGAATACGTCTCGAAGCCATCGTTCTGTTGGTAACCGCCCCAACCGTGTATGCCAAATCGGCCGCCGGGCACAGGCATGTTGCAAAGACCGCATCGTGGGTCTCGGTCTGCGCCAGCGGGGACTTCGAGCTTGCCTGAGGTCCGAACAACATTGGAAACGATGCTTGGAAAGTTCTCTTCAACAGACTCGAAGTACTGCTTCATGAGATCATCAATGGTGGTATTCTTCGAGCTTGTGGATGCCTGCGTCGCACCAGGCGAAGACTCATAGACCAGTGATGCCAGTCCAGAATCAGCAAGGCCGATGTAGGATACCAGCTCTTTCTTGAGAACGTCGCGTAGAGGGTAGTGGAAGTAGACACCGAAGGGTGCCCGTCCATCGCCGACCTGCCATGGCAACGAGAACCCTCGGCCTTTACAGGTTTCGGCAAGTGTCTTCTCAGCGAGTGCTGTGGTACTATCACCCCACAGTATACTCTGACAACATGCTGACTTTGCGTGTTCCACGATGAGTCTGGTCCTGAGCGTCGACAAAACGTCCGCCCGCGCTGTTGCGGAGGTAAGGGAGTTGATCAATACAGCCAGCTTCTCCTGATTGCTGGGATTCTCTCCGTCCACAGCTTCAGCAACCAAATCTTGTAGAGTAGCATCTTCCGATATCGTACGGAACACGTCATGCAGTGGCAATGCTGCATACTCGTGACCAGGGTATTGCTGACGAACTTTCTCTAGTAGATCTTCGACAGGTAATGTTCCTTCAGCATGACCGATCGCAACAACATTGAGTGCAAAGCCAGTGCGGCCGGTTTTGCTCATCTGAGTCTTCAGGTGCAGATCCAGAATGTGCAGCAGGGTGGTGGATGAGACTCCAAAAGTCAAAGGTAACAGTACTTTGCGCTCCTCATTAGTGTGGAAGTTGACACGGAAGGTCTCCAGTCGTTTGATAGCCTTTGTGTGGACGTAGCGGGCGAAACACTCTCTGTGGGTTTTTAGCACGAATCATTCTTGAAAGATTGCCAACTGACTGGCACAAAGGCTCTAGGCGCACGACAAGAACAGAATCGTTCTCTTTGCACCTCCTGCAGACCTCAGAGGCAGGGCATTCTGTGGTCTTACCCGGCATGGCGTGGTGTTGGTCGATGTGTGATTTGACTGGTGAATGTGGTGTTGGTGCAACTTGCCTCTTCGGTCCCGCTTTCCACAACGCAGCTCAGGGAAGGCGCGCTAGCAAGCTAGGTACCCGCCGAGCCGGGAACGAACGCGCAGCCCAGACATTGAACACTGTAGCCTTCTACTCCCACACCACTCCTCACGATACAGCCTGACTGAGGCACTTGAGACAATTTCTAGTTGACCGCAGACGCGAGCCGGCCGCATCGTATTTGAGGAAGCGTCAGCTCCGCCAGCTGGCCTCAAGCCACTATCATGAAGCAGCAATGGCTGCACAGCATAGGGCTGCTGTTGCTGTCTACGATAACAGCAGTGGCAGCGATCGATGTCACACTGACTCGTGACGATCCTCAGAAATGCTCGGGCATGTACAGCAAAAAGTCATGGGGCGGGAAGGTTGAGCCGTTCATCCTCGTCAAGTTCCTGAAGAAGGGAGACCAGAACAAGGAGATCGAGGACCCCACAGTCGGCGTAGTCATTTGGGAATGGAAAGATTCGCTGCTGTTGGGCAAGCCGACTGAAATGGCCGTCGACGATGTTGGTCTACTGCGTTGACCAAGTCTACTAAAGCTAATCAGCCACAGCGCTCCTACATCTGTAACGACGATGCAATCGATGCAAAGCTCTGCAACGGAACCCACAAGGGCGAATGGATTCTTGCCGACGACGCCGACACTGTCTCGAATATGCACATTCGCACTGAAGCCATCCACCTCAACGACCCCAAGCCTATCAACTACCCAGTTGCCAGTGGAGACCGAAAGCTGGGGATCAAGACAGGATACTACTGCGTTGCTACCGCTGCCTACACCAAAGACGTCGAGTACGAAGCCATCATCACGTTCCGCAATGCGTACGGCGAGCTCCCAGCAGCACAAATCGCGAAGCTCCCCTTCTACGGCGGCATCACCATCGTATACTTTGTAGTCCTGCTGTTCTGGGGTTTCTTGTACTACCAGAACAGGCACGATATTCTGGCGGTCCAGAACTACATCACAGCTATCCTGGTGTTTCTGGTGATCGAGATGCTCATGACCTGGGGCTTCTACGACTACCAGAACCGCCATGGCAACAACATCGGCACAAAGGTGCTCATGGTCGTTGTGGCCGTGCTGAACGCCTTCCGCAACTCATTCTCATTCTTTCTGCTGCTCATCGTGTGCATGGGCTACGGTGTTGTCAAGCCTTCTCTCGGCAAGACCATGACGATCGTTCGCTGGCTGGCAGTTGCACACTTTGTATTCGGCGTCATCTACGCTGTCGCATCGCTCACTGTTCGCCCAGACGATGCTGGCCCACTCGTTCTGCTTGTCATTCTGCCTCTATCGGCGACGCTGACTGCATTCTACATTTGGACCCTCAATTCTCTCAATCTCACAATGAAGGACCTGATGGAGCGCAAGCAACATGTCAAGGCTACCATGTACAAGAGGCTCTGGTGGTGCATTTTGACTAGCATCGTTGTCATCTTTGGCTTCTTTTTCATCAACAGCTTTACATTCGCCGGTGCTTCTACCCCCGACTTTGCTCCCACACATTGGCAGACTCGATGGTTCGTCTTGGACGGATGGTTGAACTTGGTCTACTTGGCAGATGTCTGCTTCGTGGCGTATATGTGGCGACCGACTGCGAACAACAGGCGATTCGCCATGAGCGACGAGGTGTGTAAGGCGCATTCAAGATCGTTACTATATGCTGACGTGATTGTAGATTGCGCAAGATGATGAGGGTTTCGAGATTGCATCCATTCGCGACTCTCTCGACGAGGAAGGTGGTCCTTCGGATCACCCTCCTTCTTACGATCCTGTGCGTCCGCAGCGCGATGCAGCTCGTGACGTCTCGCCACTACCCGCTCCTCAACCGCAGAAGCCCATTCACCCTCCTAGAGAGTCTCTTGACGGCGACACCATCTTCGCAGTTGGTGAGGATGACAAGTGGAGCGACGACGACGATGATGATCTGGAGCCAGCAAGCCCGAAAGGGGGCGATGATGAGCACGCGCGATTAACGAGTACCGCTGGTCAAAGTCGAAAGAACGATTAGGAGTTGATCCAACGAGGAGGGTTTTAAAGCGGCATTGAGTTTTGGTTCTGGCGTTTTGGAAACCGGCTGACTGCCCACTGTGAGGTTACGTATCATTCATGAAAGGCATATTTGGCGCATCATCTACTCAGCAGCTCTGGTGGTAATAGCAATCTACGTGTTGATTCCAATGTGTACAACGCAACTGTCATTCGCCGAGGCATCTTCCTTATCGATTGTAAACCTTTGACGCCAGAGCTTAGCTTTCTGTCAGAGCTCTACATTGTAGCTAACACACCTGTTGACCATCTATCATTATGGCAGTACCGTTGACTTCAGTGTTTGCATGGTCTTCTGCATACGTGTGCAAGTCATGTCAGAGCAGTTTCGCCGGCTCGCGCAATGCACGCTTTGCCTTGAGTCGTACCCTCAGCATTGCATCATTCCCAAGAACCCGCCTTGCGCGGCAGCGATCACAGCAGTCATTACAAACTGTGTCCCGGACGCCAAAAGCTGAGCGTACAGCACGCACAGTCTCTGTGGGAAGCGGACATGCTCGACCCTACTCGACCGTCAACGATGCGCCGCAACCGACACAATCCGGCATTGCGCCTCTTCCGCACCGCCGCCTCATCTCCCTCTCCGGCCCAGACACGATCAAGTTCCTGCAAGGCTTGATTACAAACAATGTACACGCCGACCGTGACCAGCCATTCTTCGCTGCTTTTCTTGACTCCAGAGGTCGAGTGTTATGGGATGTCTTCGTATGGGTATACCCAGCGCTGCTGGCAGAGAAGGGGACGTGGAGCTGCTACATCGAAGTCGACAGTTCAGAAGTTGAGGCCTTAAGGAAACACTTGAAGCGTCACAAGCTCAGGAGCAAGGTTGCGATCGAGCCTGTCCCTGAAGAAGCACTGGGCGTCTGGGCAGCATGGGGCGAGGCACACGAAAGCATCAACGCGCAGGCAGTCATTGCAGAGCTACCTGATCCGCGTGGTGATCTTTCGACGCTATGGAGGATACTTGCGAAGCCTGACAGCGACCTTCTTGGTGATAGAGTAGAGGCACAAGACACCCAACAGTACCACTTGCAGCGCTATCAGCAAGGCATTGCTGAAGGACCACAAGAGATTCCAAGAGAGAGTGCATTACCGATGGAAGTCAACATCGACCTAGCTCAAGGCATCGATTTCAGGAAAGGCTGTTATGTTGGCCAAGAGCTGACAATACGAACCAAACACACGGGCGTTGTTCGCAAGCGGATGCTACCTGTAGAGTTGGACTTCGGCAATGGGATCTTAGGGACCTCGCTCGAATCTGGTACAGATATAAAGCAGCTCGACGAGGCGGGCGCGATCAAGAAGGGCCGCGCAGCGGGCAAGTTTGTAGCTCACATCGGCAATGTTGGCCTCGCGCTGTGTCGGCTGGAAATGATGACACCGATGAAGATCAGCGTGGAGGGTGGAAGCTACAAAGAGAGCATGAAATTTGGCGTCTCTATGGGAGGAGGTGGGGAAGTAGTCCAGATCAAGCCCGTACTGCACAGGTGGTTCGAGGAAAGGGAGCGAATACTGTGGGCGAGGAGCAAGCCGAAGATTGTGACCAGTTCGGAAGTCGATTAGGTATATCAAATCAATCAGGCGGGTTGTGAAGCCTCCTGAGTCGCCTGTGGAGTTGCCTTATGCTAAATGCGCTCACCGGCACCGCGGCACTAATTGTGGCTTAGCTGGTCGATGTCATCAGCCTCATTCATGCCTACCTTCGGTCCAACTCTTGCCCTTTGACAAGACACATTGCTCTTGATTCTTTAAGCGTACATCTTCAGTACATTGGCATAGATTGTTGACAATCAAAATGGCACTCATGCGTCATACCAGGCCTTCTGAACGCTCCGGTTCCATCACAAGGTTCATTTCGCGACTACGAGGGCGGAACATCAAAGATGAACCCAACCCAACAGAAGAAGACCACCCCATCGACACAAGGCTACCACTGGCTCCATCTCCACTACCGCTTGTCCTTCCAGAACATCAACAGGCCCTGTCCAATCTTGGATGGACGACAATTACATTCCCACAAGCAGCACCATCAGATCCATCTCGAGACTCGTCAGTTCCGGGACTACACCCGCTGCAAGACGCTTATGAGGCCCTCTTCTTTGCGTCTCAAACTTTCTTCGCACAACCTGCAGAGGAGAAGACGAGGTGGAAGCACAAGCTCCGCTCCGAGGAAGGCTGGTCCTCTATTCCCGGCGAGAAGGAATTTATCACCCTGCGCACGTTGGAGTACTGTCCTGAGATTCTTCAAGGGCCGGCGAAGCGATTCTGGGACCTCATGGGTGCGCATTTGGAAACAACACTCGGGCGGATAGCGACGAGTCTGGACATTCCAGAGCCTGATTACATGACGAAAGGGCTAAAGAAGTTCGTTGGGCCGTGCGGAAGCATGCAAGCTAAAGATGAGGAGAAGACTGCCACGATGCTCAGGCTATTCAGATACGAAGGCTGGGAGGCGAAGGAGGTCGCAGAGCCACATGCCGATTTGGGTCTGCTGAGTGTGGTCATTGGAGACATTCCCGGTTTGGAAGTCTGGGATGGCGAGAAGTGGTTCGAAGTAGAAAAGGAGGTGGAGAGGACCGGGATGAAAGGCGCAAGTCTGCTCGCTGGCAAACAACTAGAACGATTCAGCAACAGTCGATACCCCGCGGGCGGGCACCGGGTCGTGTCGTATGGGGATCCCATGAACGGCAAAGATGGAGGAGCGAGATACAGATTCAGTATAGTTTTCGTGCTGCGCGCACATGAACCTGTGATTATCGACTCGGAAGAGTTGGAGACAGCTATCACAGGAAAATGGTCAGAGCCGGTGCAGGGACTGACGGCAGGAGAGCTATACACACAAATCCGAGGTGCTCACTTCAATATCAATATCAGCCAGGAAGAGAGGGAAAGGCAAAGAACGAATGTTCGGAAGACAATGGAGAAGGGCATTAGCCCCTAGTCTGTAAATTCACACAGGCACGCCCTGTAACGACGCAGGCAAGAAGAGAGATATCCGGAATAGGTGTGAATCCGCTACCAGGCATATAGGAGTGCTGGGATGATAAGAACACTAGGATATATTCTCTACACCTAACGTAGATTATCACCAAGCCAGCCATATCACCAAACTAGCCATTTTCTCTTAGCACAACTAACACAAGTTACTGCAACTACAACTACTTACTATTAAACAGTGACCTAGCATACTACGTGCTTGTATTAGATTTAGAAGATGTTTCTACACCCTCCTAGCACGTTCGTGCGTTGTGTCTAGTCTTGCTGCAGTTCCTATAGCGCTAAACAGTTAACTAAGCTCCTACATCGGGAAAAGTTTTTCCGTTGTCGAAATTGGGAAATCGTGGCATTGTACTGTGGGCAACAGTAGGACTTGTAGGCCTACAACAGCCATTCAATGTGCATTCAATGTCCAGCCAATTTTGAGCCAACGGCTCTAACAGTCCCAACAGCTGCAATGGCCACAACAACTCCTAATCCTGCTACAATAGTAGCTCTGCTTAATAAACTATACTTTTATTATATTAATATACTACTAAGTGTCCTCTTTAAAATAAGCTATTAAACAACATTATAGGCCTAGTAATAGAATAGTTATTAAGCGTAGAAGGTTTTAAGCTTGATGTTCCTTGCCAAGACACTAAGTTAAGATTCTTCGCTAGGGCTCTAGCAGCCTGAATGTTAGAAAATATAAGAATATTATTCAAGAATAGTAGGTAAACCAAGAATTTTACGCCCAGGCCTGCCTGCTCTGCAAGCTCCTGTTGCGCTGCTGCTGTGTGTGTGTATGTGTGTGTGTGTTGGTCAGCAGGTGCTATGCTGTATGCTGTTGCAGCTGCTATGTTATGTGCGGGCGCAGCTGCAGCTGCCATGGTGTGCTGTCGCAACTTCAAAACACAAACCTTTAACAAACAAACCTTTAACGCTCTATAACTCGCGTTGTAGTAGGCCTACAACAATAATTTTTCGCTCATTTTGAAGCTACAATTTCGCTCTATCTGTACGTGAAATTTCGCAATTTTTGAATATTTAATGCTAGTGCTAGCACTAAGGGTAGCCATGCAACGACGTTGCAACGTTGTTTTGAGTTTGTTGAATATAGGCACTCAGCGTTTTGGCTGTTGGCAACGTTGGCGCGAAATTAGGGCCGTTGGGCGCAAATTAGGGCCGTTGGGGCTAGACTGGCGGATGGGTAGGGTAGGGTAGGGTATAGGTATAGTCACGTGACTAATGGGTAGGAACTAGGTAGGGTACACGAGGTACCCTACCCAAACGGTTTGGGTAGGGTAGCACGTGACTGGGTATAGGTATAGGTAGGGTAGCACGTGACTAGGTATAGGTATAGGTAGGGTAGCTAGGTAGGGTCTAGGAATGGGTAGTCATCAGCTATTTTTAGAAAGTTCTGCCAATAACTTTTATCACAGTGATTCATCACAGTGTGCAAAATTCCAGGTTGGTAATACACTA